TCAGAAGTGAGTTGCATTGTAAGACACCTAGTTGGTATCAGAGAACTGCTTGGTGTGGAGAAAAAAAAGAAAACCTACACATTTTATCACAAAAGTATTCTATGTTGAGGTCTCAGTTACTGAGTATAGGGCCTGGGCTCCTGACCTATCTATCCACTCATGCACCCACTCATTCATCCATCAACCCACCCATGCACCCACCTGTCTATCTATCCATCCATCATCCATCCAGGTCTAACCCCATACTCATTGTTAGCCAGGTGCCCCAGGATCAACTCCATGGATGAGCTTTGTGACCTTGGACAAGTGGCTCTATTTTGCCATCTCACATAGGGTGATAATAAACTTTTTTATAGTAAGGATAGTATAATATTATTATAATTATAATATTTAAAATCTTTGTAAATACTATACTAAAATAATGACCAGCACTGGGTATATGATCACTACATTTTAGCTGACTCATGCTGAGTGTAGCCCCAGGAGGGAGCTGGCACACAGCCCACCCTTTGCACGTCTAGACTGGCCTCTGAGATCAGCTTCAGAGGTCAGACTCTCCTTTTCAGGAAAGAAGGGTGGGGACCTCCGGGTTGGGAAGTACCCTTGTCCTTGGGGACCTTCTGGGTGCAGTGGGCTCCTACTTCCTTAACTCTCTCTCCTTTCTGTTCTTAGGCTGAACTTCGGTGCACCCAGTTAGATCTGGAGCAGAAACTCAAGTTGAATGACAACGCCATTGCCAGACTTCAAGCCAACCACAAATCTGTTTTGGTAAGGCTGGTCCGGGGCACCTGTCAGGTGTTGGCACACCTGGCTATTTATCTGGGGTCATAGGACACAGCACTTCAGGCCTGGCTTCCATGTCCCTTGGGACTTCTCAGCAAGTGAGAACTGCAGGTGCAGTTGGCTACACCATGGGTAGCCTCACCTTGATGCCAGAATTTGCTATGAAATTAGTTTAAATTTCACAACTGGCAAGTGAGTTTTTTAAAAATTAATATAGAGTAGAACCCAGACTGGTTGTGTAATAATAATCTTTTATTTTTACATTTACATATGTATTCTTAGCCAGGATATGTATGTGTTTTGGAGGATATTTAGTATGTATTGGGGATGTTTTGTATGTTTGTGTGTGTGTGTGTTGGGTGTTATAATAATGTCTGGGAGTATTTAGTTAGAGCGTCAGGAAATATGCATAACCTTGGTTTCTTCTTGGGAAGGTGTTTTGCATGTTGAGTTTCAGCAGTCTGAAGTCATAAAAAAAAAAAAAGAGTTGACAACTGCTGGATTAGTGGATGATATTTGATAAGGTTAATGTTGTGCCAGGCTGCTTAACTTTAGTCTTTCTGGTTTATGGCCACTTTCCAAATAAGCTCTAAAAAGGCTCAAGCAATTCCACACATGCTTCTCATTAGTGGCCAGAAAATAGCCACCATCTAGAGGAGTATGTAAAACACCTAGCCCATGGCAGTGAGTCTGCAGCATCATCTTTGTATACTGAGAAAGAATGACTCCATTCATCCACTCTCCTAGGAACCCATGTGCTCGCCTGCTCATCCATCTACTCACCCATGCACCTACCTTTCTATCCATGCATCCACCCATCCATCCCTCTATCCACTCACCTGTCCTTCCATCCATCCATGCAGATGGGATACCCATCCATCTGTATCTAATACTTATATCCATTTCATTCTATTTTCTATCTCCTTGGTGTTTACAACAAACTGGCTACTGAAAGCTGAAATTTCTTCCTTACCCACAATATCGGTTAAAGGATGAAAAAGAATTATCCCTGTAAAGCCTTCTAAACCTTCAGAGAGTGTTGGTCTCCCCCATCCAGATGACCTAAAGAACTGCATGGAATGTCATCCTTTCTCCAGCTCTTTAATATTCAGGCCCTTAGATCACTACTCAGCTCTCATAACGACATGGCGCCCGGGAGGGGTAGTTGTTATGGTGACTGCCATCCATGTACAAGGGATGTGAAGCTACAGAGAGATTATGAGACTTGTCTAGGGCCCTCTGGGTTGATGGAACAAGAGAGCCTAAGAATGCCGGTGCCTTGACCTAAGAATGACTCAGTACATCGACAGGCATGTGCACCATCCTCATATCTTTAGCTGCTTTGATGTGTTTACTGCCCCTCCTCTCTGTACTATTTGCGTGTCATAGCGTGCGCCTGAATGAAATCCTCTGCACATTCCATTTGTGTGCAAGAAAGAAGTAGCTCTCAGTGGGCAGGTTTAGGAATGACAGGTCACAGCAGAAGTCAGTCAATCGACCAGCTTCACTTGAGGCCTCCCTTCCTCCATCCTTCTTCAGGATGTCCTCAGTGTAGGGGGGAGGGATTTGATCCTACATTTTGTCTTTACGCTTGTGGTCTCATATCGCTACAGGAACCTACATGTAACTATAGAGAGCAGATGGGTCCTGATCCTTTCCCGTGACATCCTCATGTTCCCATGCTTGTTCTGTCCCTGTTCGCTGGGAGTGATCGGGAGTGGGCAGGGCAGGAAGCACCTGCTGGCCCGTGTGACTCATGGAGCTAGAAGGGAAGGAAGGGTGAGCCAGCCCGGGTGCCAGAATGCATCACTGAATCCGGAGCCCTGGTAAGACATGAGCAACAGTACTTGCCCCTGGGGTGACTATAACCCAAACTGGTCTGCCTTCTGAGACTGCTTTCTCCATCTTCTTCTTTCTTTTTTTCTTTCTTTCTTTCTTTTTTTTTTTTTTTTTTTTTTTTTTTTGGACAAGCAGAGTTAGACAGTGAGAGAGAAAGACAGAGAGAAAGGTCTTCCTTCCATTGGTTCACCCCCAAAATGGCCGCTACAGCCGATCCGAAGCCAGGAGCCAGGTGCTTCTTCCTGGTCTCCCATGAGGGTGCAGGGCCCGAGCACCTGGGCCATCCTCCACTGCACTCCCGGGCCACAGCAGAGAGCTGGCCTGGAAGAGGAGCAACCGAGACAGAATCCGGCACCCCAACTGGGTCTAGAACCCGGGACGCCGGCACCGCAGGCGGAGGATTAGCCTAGTTAGCTGAGGCGCCGGCCTCTCCATCTTTACTTCTTTGCCACATGGAAATACAACGACTTAAGCCCACTGAAGATGCATTGTCTCAGAATTGGCAGTATGTACAATGACAATTACTTCTTTGCAATTGGGAGATATAATTTTACATGTAGATTTCAATCCACTTGGTTGTTCTCTCAGCGTCTCTACAATGACAAGGAGGTGACACATGTAAACACCTGGTGCAGGAATTGCTGGCGAAGCTTGGTGTCTGTTTCATCTGGTTACCTGCTCAGCTGCAGGCTGAATATTTGGTCCAGGATGGGCGTAGGTGGTGTCCCTTACCTGGTACCCCCAGTGACCACGAGGCTGAGTTCTGTCAACCCCCTGGTTCTGGGAGGGCTTCATGTTAATGGCCTGAGTCCCAAGGTCCTTCTTGGAACTTTACCTGTGGGCTGAAAGCTCAGCTGAGCTACCCAGTTGCCCCTGGGGCTTGTCCCAAGTTGCCAGTGTCCCTTTGGGAGGGTTGGGCCCTGCCTGCTGAGCTGCTGGACGGCAGCGTGTGGGATCCCCAGTCGCCAGCTTTTCCTTGAGGCAATGGAGAATGGTCCCCATTTCCATAGCTAAGAACTAGGGATCATTATGTTACTTAGCTTTTAGGGTTGCTAGGAGGTAACTGAGTAATGTTTAGAATAGTGCCAACTCTTATGTTGGTTGTTACAATGATTATTATATGATATCATTAAAAAGTGACTGTTCCTGGGATTGGCGTGGGGGTGCAGTGGGTTAAGCTGCTCCATATGGGTGCTGGTTCGAGTCCTGGCTGCTCCACTCCTGATCCAGCTCCTTGCTAATGCAACTGAGAAAGCAGTGGAAGGTGGCCCAAGTGTTTGAGCCCCTGCACACACATGGGAGACCTGGATGAAGCTCCTGACTCCTGGCTTTGGACTGGCCCAGCTCCAGCCACTGGGAGTGGCCATTTGGGGAGTGAACCAGTGGATGGAAGATGTCTCTCTGTCTCTCCCTCTCTCTCCATAACATCTGCCTTTCACATACATAGAATAATTTTTTTGCTTCCATCACGTTGGCCAGCGGCTAACGGGCTCTCGGCTTCCTCCCAGGTGTCAGTGTCAGAGGTAAAGGTCGTGGCGGAAGAGCAGTTCGGGGAGCTCCTCGCTGCTGTGAGGAAGGCCCAGGCCGACGTGATGCTGTTCTTGGAGGAGAAGGAGCAAGCAGCCCTGAACCAGGCCAACGGCATCAAGACCCACCTGGAGTTCAGGAGCGCGGAGATGGAGAAGAGCAGGCAGGAGCTGGAGAGGCTGGCGGCCATCGGCAACACAGTCCTGTTCCTGGAGGTAAGGGGGCCGGGCTGGGGCCGGGCTGGGGCTGGGTGGGGCGTCCACCCAGCTGACCGAGGAGCAGCTTGGCTCCACTGGGCCAGAGGCAGACCTGTGAATGGGACTGCTCTTCAATGAATGGGGCTCCCAGGAACAGTGAGAAACAGGTCTTGGTTCAACAGGGTTCAGGAACACGGGAGGGGGAGGGCAGCAGGGCCGCTCAGGTCAGGGAAGCTTGGAGCCAGACCCTGGAAGAGAAGTCAAGTTCAAGGTGCAGGATGTTCTAGGTAGAGGCAACAGCATGTGCAGAGACAGAGGCCTGAGGAAGCAAGGCACAGGGATGAAGCACAGGGTACTGGGTGTGTGGTGGTGGGAGATCAGGGTCTCTGGCTGTGGGGGATTTCAGCTGGGACAGATGAGGTATCTGAGGAGCCGTGCTGGCAGTGGTGTGAGGGCCACTGGAGCCAGGTCCACAGGGTGCCTCACCAGGCAGGGAGGGAACGGGAGGCTGGGGGGAAATGCCATCACCCTGGATCTTCCACTAAATAGCTGTGTCGTTTTTCGCAAGTCATGTAAGCTCTCTGCGTCTCAAATCCCTCCTTTATCAGGTTGACAGATTAGAGAGGATCACTGTCGAGGCTCCTTCCAGCTCTTGTATTCTGAAGAAGAGATCATCTTTCTTATTTGCAACATTGACACATTTCCTTTTAGTTTCCACAAACAAAAATGTTTACTGTGAAAAATCTTGGAAAAGACAGAATATGAAGACAAAAATCCATAATGCCAGCATCCAAAGACAACCATAGATAAGTTTTTAAAAAATATGTATTTTATTTATTTGAGAGAGTGACAGAGGAGAGGCAGAATTTTTGCACCAGAATAAACTTATGGTTTAAATTCCATTTTCCGTGAAATTGTTTAAGTACCCTCATATATATATATATATATATATATATATATATATATACATTCAATGGATAAAGTTGTGCTGCCTTTTGGGTAACTACAGGTTTTTCTTCTGGAGTTGTTGTGGGTTTTTTTCTCTACAAATTTTCTTTTTTAAAAAAGATTTCTTTAGTTACTTGAAAGGCAGAGTTACAGAGAGAAAGGGAGAGAGAGAGAGAGAGAGATTGTTCACCCGCTGTTTACGCCCCCATTCCCCCAGGTGACTGCAGCTGCAGGAGCCCAGGACTCCATCTAGGTCTCCCATGTGGGTGGAAGGGACTTCATTGCTTAAGCCGTCTTCCGCTGCCTTCCCAGGCTCATTCCCAGGCAGCTGGATCAGAAGCGGAGCAGTTGAGACTCCGATATGGGATGCTGGTGTCGCAGGGCCAGGGTTAGTCCACTGTGCCACAATGTCAGTCCTTCTTTTTAAAAAAAAAATTTAAGACTCATTTATTTACTGATTTATTTGGAAGGCAGAGTGACAGAGAGAGGGAGAGACAGAGACAGAAAAAGAGAGCAAGTGAGTGGGCGAGAGGGATCTTCCATCCACTGGTTCACTCCCCAAATGGCAGCAATGGCCAAGGCTGGGTCAAGCTGAAACCTAAGCCTGGAACTCCATCAGGTCTTCCACATGGGTGCAGGGAACCAGGCACTTGGGCCATCTTCTGTTTCCTCTTGAGGTGCATTAGCTGGGAGCTGGATCGGAAATGGAGCAGCTGGGACACGAACTGGCGCCCATATGGGATGCTGGCATGGCCAGCTGCTTAACCAGCTGCGCCCCAGTGCTGGCCCCTTTAGCTGTATTTTGATACCCATTATCTGCTGTGTCTCTAACCCTACTCTGAGAGGAGAGTTTAGGTCACTGGAATCTACAAAAATGCCTTCTCTGCTCTAAGACCCCGAGCCGGGCACTTTTCGGACATTTTCTGTGAATTACAAGTCACTCTCAGCTCTTTTCACACATGCTGCAAGTGTCCTGACGAGCAGAGCAGCCCACTGGAAGAAACACAGAAACCCAAGGCAGTTCTGCTGCTTCCTCTTCTGCAGGAGTACGGCAAGTTCAAGAGCACCGAAGACAACGCCTTCCCCAGCGTGTACATAGGGCTGAAGGATAAGCTCTCGGGCATCCGCAAGGTCATCACCGACTCCACTGTGCACTTGGTCCAGCTGCTGCAGAGCTACAAGGAGAAGCTCCAGGCGTTCGCCACGGAAGGTGAGGAGGCTGTGGGCTTTGGTAGGGGTGGTTGATGGCGAATGCGGGAGAGGATTGAGGAGGGAGGGAAACCCCGGGGGAAGCTCCGATTTTCAAAGCCTTGCTTCTGGTTAGGCCATACTAGCAACGAGCCCTTATCCTCATGGTTTGGTTTGACATCTGTGACTCAGAGAGAGTAGGACCGTCATGTTGTGCTATTGGCTGGTCTTTCTGTGAGCAGCTTCTCAGGGTTGCTGATAGTTGTACATTTCAAGTGAACTCCAAATCCGCCTGGGATCTCTGCCAGCCCCTTCTGTCTCTTGGATTGGCCGTGCTTCTCTGAGATGTCCCCGGGCCCTGGCCCCTTCTTGCCCCAGGAAGCCCAAGGAAGGGTGGCTGTGGGAGTGGCGGTGGCAGGGTTGGGGGTGGTGTTCCTACCCTCCAGGTTCCCCAGACCACCAGGGCGGGTGTGCATTCCCAACTCTCTGATTTTCCAGAGGAGTATGACATCAGAACTCAAGTGTCCGCCATCGTCCAGCGCCAGCATCGGACCTCCAAACCTGAGCCCAGCACCAGGGAACAGTTCCTCCTGTGTGAGTACTGAAGGGCTTCCCTGCTTGCTGATATCAGAGAAATGTTTTTGCTCAAGCAAGAGCCATCATGTCCTGTATGGTATCCAGGTTCTTGTAGCTACTTTTCTAGCCCCAGACGATCTACTTTTTAACAATTTAATTTAAAAAGCTTTCAGGTTCACATTCTGAAATGATGGAAAGCTTACAACAAATATAGACAAAGGATTCCCATACACCTTTCATCCAGCCTTTCTAAATGTTAACGCTTCCCACAGTCACAACACATGGATCAAAACCTGGAAATTAACTTTGCGACAATGCTATCGCCCAATCTGTGGACTTGATTCTGGTTCCAGCAACTGTTCCTCCAATGCCATTCATTTTAGTCAACTAATCCTTGAGCTTCAGCTCCTAGGAGAGGAAAGATCACATCTGGGTAGTCAGGACTCATTTTCGTGACATACTTTTGGGACATGTCATTGAACACTACATATCCCTGTTTTCTGGGGAGACCACTGACTTGTTTTTAAAGACTTTATTTTTATTTATTTGAGAGGTAGATTTATAGACAGTGAGAGGGAGAGACAGAGAGAGAGGTCTTCCATCTGCTGGTTTACTCCCCAAATGGCCACAATGGCCAGAGCTGCGCCGATCTGAAGCCAGGAGCCAGGAGCTTCTTCCAGGTCTCCCACGTGGGTGCAGGGGCTCAAGCACTCAGACCATCTTCTACTGCTTTCCCAGGCCATAGCAGAGAGCTGGATCAGAAGAGGAGCAGCTGGGACTAGAACTGGTGCCCATAAGGGATGCTGGTATTGCAAGCAGAGAATTAACCTACTGTGCCACAGCACCGGCTCCAAGACCACTGACTGTTGAACTCTTGGGCCCGCTTGGTCTCTGGTTTTCACAGGGAGCAGATTCTTATCACTATCTGCTGGTCTTCCATGTTCCCATGTGGCCTCAGCACCTCCACTCTGGGTCAGTTCCCCAGTCTGTCTTTGTTTTTCTTGACCTTGATACTCTGAAGAGTCCTGGCCTGGGTACCAAATGGCTCATCCCGAAGTCTGGCTTGGCCAGAATCACATCACTCATTGTCCTATCATTAGGTGGTACTGATGTGGTCTGGTAGCATCTTTACAAGCATTTTATTTTCAATCAATTCTCCATTATAGAATCAACTCAGGGGGTCTTGTGTATGACACAGTGACTATAGTTAGTAACAATGTGTGGCATACTTGAAAACTGCTACAAGAGTAGTTTCTAAGTGTAGTCATAAAGAATGATATGTATGTGAAGCAATGCATGTCTTTCTTTTTTAAAGATTTATTTATTTATTTGAAAGGCAGAGTTCAGAGGCAGAGAGAGAGAGAGAGAGAGAGAGAAAGAGTCTTCCATCCACTGGCTCACTCCTCGGATGGCTGCAATGGCTGGAGCTGCACTGATCCAAAGCCAGGAGCCAGGAGCTTCTTCTGGGTCTCCCACGTGGATGCAGGGGCCCAAGGACTTGGGCCATCTTTAATGCTTTCCCAGGACATAGCAGAGAATCAGATCGGAAGTGGAGCAGCCAGGTCTCGAACCAGCGCCCATACGGGATGCCAGCACTGCAGATGATGGCTTTACCTGCTACACCACAGTGCCGGCCCCAAGCAATGCGTGTCTTAATTAGCTTGATTTAACCATTCCTCAATGTGTCTGAGGGCACTTCAAAAGGCTAGTGGACAAAATGGAATGAAAAGATAAGTTTATTTTGGTGTAAATATTTTTTGAGATCCACGGATAGTTTTTTTATAAGACCCATTTTCTGTGAACTTTTTGAAGACCTTTGTTACATCAAAGCATCATGTTGTACACTGCAAATAGATAATGGTTTTTATTTATCAATTAAAAATTACATTTAAAAAATTCTTTATTATAGTCAGCAACTCCATGAGGATTTAACACCTCATAGAGGAAAGATCGCATCTGGAGGTCGATGCTCATTTTTTTTAAAAGATTTTATTTATCTATTTATTTGAGAGGTAGAGTTACAGACAGTGAGAAGGAGAGACAGAGAGTTCTTTCATCCGCTGGTTTGCTCCCTGCTGGTTTATGGCTACAACAGCCGTAGCTGAGCAAATCTGAAGCCAGGATCCTGGAGCTTCCAGGTCTTCCAAGCAGGTGCAGGAGCCCAAGCAACTGGGCCATCTTCTACTGCTTTCCCAGGCAATAGCAGAGAGCTGGATAGGAAGAGGAGCAGCTGGGACTCGAACCAGTGCCCATATGGGATGCCAGTGCTGCAGGTGGAGGATTAACTTACTGCGCCACGGCGCCAGCCTCAATACCTTTTATTTTTAACATTCAAATAAAAATTAAACATATTATAGTTGATCTGCTTTTGCCTTATAAGTGTCCTTTTTTTTTTTTTTAAGATTTTACTTATTTATTTGAGAGGTAGAGTTACGGAGAGGCAGAGGCAGAAAGAGTGAGAGAGAGAGGTCTTTCATCTGCTGGTTCACTCCTAGAGGGCCTCAATGGCTGGAACTGAGCAATCCGAAGTCAGGAGACAGGAGCTTCATCCGGGTCTCCCACATGGGTGCAGGGCCCCAAACACTTGGGCCATCTTCCACTGCATTCCCAGGCCACAGAACAGAGCTGGATTGGAAGAAGAGTAGCCAGGACAGAACTAGCATCCATTTGGGATTCCAGCGCTGCAGGCAGAGGCTTAGCCCACTACACCACAGCACTGTCCCCCTCCTTAAGATTTATTATTTAAAGGAGAGAGAGAGCTCTTCCATCTGCTGGTTCACTCCCTAAATGGCCACAATAGCCAAGGCTGGGCCAGGCTGAAGCCAGGAGCTTGGAATTCCATCTGGGTCTCCCACATGTATGCAGGGGCCCTAGGACTTGGATCAACCTCCGCTGCTTTCCCAGGCACATTAGCAGGGAACTGGATCGGAAGTGGAGCAGCCAGGACTCAACCTGGTGCCCATATGGGTTGCTGGCGCTGCAGGTGGTGGCTTTACCTGGTGTACCAGGATGCCAGCCCTCAAGTATCTTTCTTACGTGTGATATTAACTTCTCTCTTTTGAGTATTATTATGGAGGATAACGTACATAACAGTATCTGTTGAATCATTGCTATTGTTACGGACAGTCAGTAAGGAGTTAATTGCACTGGTCCAGGTGGGATGTGGTGGTGGCTGAGATGGGGGTTGAGGAGGTGGCTAGAGAGAGGTGCATGCAGTCTACCACACTTGCTGCTGCCTGTTTGTGTTGGGGGAGGGATGGGCCTGAAGATGAAGGCAAAAGAAATATCAAAAATGACAGATTTGAGCAATTGGGTGCATGAAGGTAATATTATTCTTGGGCCTGGAGGAGAAAATGTTCAAGTATTTGAGAGCATACCTACTATTAGTTACAAATTTTTAGAGGAATGGATAAATAAAATATGAGTTTATGATATATGACCCTTGACAGCACTGGGAAGAATAGTAATTGGCTTTGTAGCTTTGGATCCATATTGGGGAGGGGAGGGGCTTTGAGATATTTTTTGTAATGGGACATGCATTTGGCCTAGTGGTTAAAATGCCTGTTAAGGTGTCTCATATTGGAGTACCTGGTGTTTGTCCTGGCTCCACTCCTCACTCCAGCTTCCTGCTACTGCACACCTTGGGAGGAAGCAGGTGATGACCCAAGTACGTGGTTTCCTGGCACCCACATGGGAGACCCAGAGTGAGTCCCAGTTCCTGGCTTTTGCCTGGCTCAGCCCCAGACATTGTGAACATCTGGGGAGTGAACCAGCGGATGGGAGCTCTGTCTATTTGTCTGCCTCTCCATTTTTAAAACAGTTCTTGGAAAATGGGATTTTTTTTTTTTTTTTGACAGGCAGAGTGGACAGTGAGAGAGAGAGACAGAGAGAAAGGTCTTCCTTTGCCGTTGGTTCACCCTCCAATGGCCGCCGCTGCAGCCAGTGCACCGCGCTGATCCGATGGCAGGAGCCAGGAGCCAGGTGCTTTTCCTGGTCTCCCATGGGGTGCAGGGCCCAAGCACCTGGGCCATCCTCCACTGCACTCCCTGGCCATAGCAGAGAGCTGGCCTGGAAGAGGGGCAACCGGGACAGAATCCGGCGCCCTGACCGGGACTAGAACCCGGTGTGCCGGCGCCGCAAGGCAGAGGATTAGCCTATTGAGCCACGGCGCCGGCCGGAAAATGGGATTTTTTAAAGTTCTATTAAAACATAAGTTTATTTTGGTGCAGACATTTTTTTTTTGAAATCCATGCATTGCGTTTGCATGGTACAGATTTTCCATGAACTTGTTGAAGACCTTCTTCCTGCATGTTGAATGAATGAATGAGTAAGCGAATGTATTTCTTGATTCCATTCAGCAACGGAGGAAGGAAGTGGGGTGACTTGTGTGTTCACCCACCCTGGTTTAGGGGGAACCAGGCCCTATGGGAGACAGAACAGGGAGATGTCTGATTGCTCATGCATGCTGGGGAAGGGGCTGGGTTCAGAACTTCCTGTGTGAACCACTCTCCCTGCCTTCCGTGTCTGCCCAGATGCCTGTGACATCACCTTTGACCCGGACACCGCACACAGGTATCTCCGGCTGCAGGAAGACAACCGCAAGGTCGCCAACACGGCGCCCTGGGAACACCCCTACCCGGACCTCCCCAGCAGGTTCCTGCACTGGCGGCAGGTGCTGTCCCAGCAGAGCCTCTACCTGCGCAGGTACTATTTCGAGGTGGAGATCTCCGGGGCAGGCATCTACGTGGGGCTCACCTGCAAAGGCATTGACCGGCAAGGAGAGGCGCGCAACAGCTGCATTTCCGGAAACAACTTCTCCTGGAGCCTCCATTGGAACGGGAAGGGGTTCACAGCCTGGCACAGTGACACGGAGACCCCACTCAAAGCCGGCCCCTTCCGCAGGCTCGGGGTCTACGTGGACTTCCCAGGGGGGACCCTTTCCTTCTATGGTGTAGAACATGACGCCATGACTCGGATTCACAAATTTGACTGCAAGTTTTCCGAGCCGGTCTACGCTGCCTTCTGGCTTTCCAAGAAGGAAAACAGCATCCGGATTGTGGACCTGGGAGAGGAACCTGAGAAGCTGGCACCGTCCCCAGCAGGAACTGCTCCCTAGATGTCTGTTCCAGACCTTTCATGAACCACAACCATGGGGCAGCAGTTTGCATTTTAAGGGTGCCTGGAGCAGTGTAGCTGGCTTCAGAGAGTGTGTGGTTCTGTGAACAGGAGGTTCTTGGGCTGCTCACCTTGGCACCTTGGCAGCTCTGTTCTCTGTTTCTTTGCTGTAATCCTTAAATACTAGTCCCCCCTGTCATCCTCTAGCGATTTTCTGCCGTCTGCTCAGGTGAACATCATGCTGTGCCCAGAACTTGTGACCAGGAATCTAAAGAGGCCTAAAAAGTTTGCAGAGTAATCATAATCAGTTGCTAACTTGACTGTGCATTTTCTATGCTCCAGACACGGCCCTGAGCGCTTTGCGATGACCTCAGTCTTTGCAGCAGATCCATGGGGTGGATATCATTATATCCACTATATCATTCCCATCTAGCATTTGACAAAACTGTGGTCCCTGCAGGTCCAGGAGAGCTAGGAAGTTACTCAAGGTCACTCAAGGTCACTCTGGTCACTCAGCAGAACTGGGCTTCAAGTCCCAGTGGGTAGGCAATGAACTTTGATCAACCACATACCTGGTTAGATCGTGATCGTTGTGTACAAGGGAATTAACCACATGATGAACCACAAAGCAGAGATGTTGAATACCTTACACCCACCTCTTGCGGACTGCCTCGCACGCCTGGAGTCTGACCTGGCCATCCAGCCATGCACCGGCTGCGAGCTCACCACCTCCCACAGCAGCTCTTTCTGTTCTGGGCCAGCAAGGATTAGGAAAAACAACTTCATGGAGCCCAAGTGTTAGACTCTGTGACCTCTGGGAAGGGGGTCACGCTTTTCTCTTCCAAAGTCATCTGGCCCACGTGGACTTGTCTGATCTCATTCAGGGGACAGTCAATCAAGTGTCTGAGGCCAGCTCCCACGGCCCTGTCCCCTTCTCGGGAGGCATCGCTGTTTCCACACTGAACTTCACAAATCTCACTCCTTCCCCTTGCTCCTGAGCTCTTCTTCTTCTTCTTCTTTTTTTTTTTTTGGACAGGCAGAGTGGACAGTGAGAGAGAGAGACAGAGAGAAAGGTCTTCCTTTGCTGTTGGTTCACCCTCCAATGGCCGCCACCGCTGGCACACCACGCTGATCTGAAGCCAGGAGCCAGGTGCTTCTCCTGGTCTCCCATGGGGTACAGGGCCCAAGCACTTGGGCCATCCTCCACTGCACTCCCGAGCCACAGCAGAGAGCTGGCCTGGAAGAGGGGCAACCGGGACAGAATCCGGCACCCCGACCGGGACTAGAACCCGGTGTGCCGGTGCTGCAAGGCGGAGGATTAGCCTAATGAGCTGCGGCGCCGGCTGCTCCTGAGCTCTTTGACAAAGACGCTCACTAAGATTAATGGAGAACAGCCGTCAAACCCGGAAGCAGATAACAAACTGTCTTTAAGTGGGTTTCCAAGGACATAACCTGAAGTCCCTGGCAGGAGTCCCCAGAAATATCTGTCTAACTTCCAGGTCATTCTCCATGACCTGTGGGAAGGCAGATCTCTTCCTCTTTGGTCATCTGATAGGCTTATCTCAAGAGTGCATTACTTGAGCATTGTTTGTCTTGTTTCTGGTTCTCCCACGTGGGTGCAGGGGCCCAAGGACTTGGGCATCTTCTGCTACTTTCCCAGGCCAAAGCAGAGAGCTGGATCGGAAGTGGAGCAGCTGGGTCTTGAACCAGTGCCCATATGGGATGCCGGTGCTTCAGGCAAGAGCATGTGTCTCTCCAAGGTTTATACAGGAGGATTTAATGTCATTTTGATTGCTGCATGCCAGGGTAGTTTAGCTTCAGGATTCTGCATCCAGTCGATCGGCTCTCCTTCCCAGCCTGGTGATCACCCACAGAATCAAAAACCTTTTCTTCTTAAATCTTTTCTTTTTTTAAAGATTTATTTATTTATTTGAAAGGCAGAGTTAGAGAGAAAGAGAGAGAGGGAGAGAGAGACATAGAGAGATCTTCCATCTGCTGGTTTACTCCCCAGATGGCCACAATGGTCAAAGCTGGGCTGATCTGAGGCCAGGAGCCAGGAGTTTCTTCCAGGTCTCCCACATGGGTGGCAGGGGCTCAAACACTTGGACCATCTTCCGCTGCTTTCACAGGCACATTAGCAGGGAGCTGGATCAGAAGTGGAGCAGCTGGGACATGAACCAGCGCCCATGTGGGATGCCGGCACTGCCGGTGGCAGCTTTATCTGCTGTGCCACAGCTCTGGCCCCTTCTTAAATCTTAACTTTGTTGATATGGACTAGCCTAGGACCCAGCCCAGAGTCATGCAGCTCTCAGTCAATAGCTACTGAGTTCAGTTATCCACAAGCTATGCTTTATGGAACCATACAATATGGCAGCCTGCCCTTTGCAGGAAGGACTTTTTCAAAGGCAAAAATAAACATATTCTATATCTGAATTTGACCTTCTAGCCTAACAATGCTCTCAAGTGAGAAAACTGAGATCAACTCATCTTGCCTTATTTTTACTGAATGCGGGTTGTTTGTGATTTTCACTTTTATTTCTAAATGCTTACGAAATAATAATTTTAGGATTATCTTGTGGGTTAGTATCAAGTTGATTAGCTTGTTATTTCCAGAATCTACCTTCTTTTTCTTCTTCAAAAAACTATTTTCAAAGATTCCTGCCCAATTTGCAGTCACCTTGTTGAGATGTGACTTGGTTAGACAAGCATTGAGATTGAGTGCATGTAAAGGGACTGTTTAGGTGTGTCCTTAGGAGCCTTGAACTCCACTTCCCTGTTAGCCACTTTTGTCTATTACTTTTCAGGTTAAATACCTTTCTTCTTAATATAAAAGATAAATACCAGATGCAAATGGGCTGCTTTTGCTTTATTTCATGTGATAAACCTATAATTTTTCTTCTTCTTGGCCTGTATGCTAAAAATTGCCTAAAACAAACAACTAACAAATAAGGAAAGAAAAAAAAGAGAGCAAAGACCTATTATATATTTTTCTGGTATTTTCCCCAGGCTTTTGCGTGCGTCTCTTTTGTATTTACCCATCCTTAAAAAACAGCAAAACAATAAAAACCCAAACCCAAACTCATCAAGAGCTCATTTCCCTGCCAGATCACTTTGTTCCATTAGAACATTTGTGTCTGCAGAGGCAGAATGTAATTTTAGCCACTATGTAATTTATTTTTGTCTCAGTGTTTTGAAATTCAAGTGCACGCGGCATTCTCTTCCAGGAATCCGGCAATGAAATTCCCTCATTCTCCCAAGGTTCACGATGAAACGATGCGAGAGCAATATTGGCTCTCATCTCTTTGTCTCAGTCCACTTTATATTGCTATAACAGAATCCTACAGACTGGGTAAATTACCAAGGAGATACATCTATTTTTACAGTTCCAGGGGCTGGGGAATCCAAGGCTGAGGAGCCCCCGTCTGCCTTCTTCCTGCAACATCCTACGGAGGGAGGGCCAGAGAGCACATGACGGGTGGGGGGTGGGGAAACTCTGCAGCTGGAAGCCCTAAACCTCTTCTGATCAGCATTCATTTATCCATGAAGGAAGAATCCTCATGCCCTAAACACTTTCCATTAGTCCCCACCTCCCAAACTGTTCGGGATTAGGTTTTCCACACAGAGGGGTCAGGTTCAGACCATAGCACTCTTGGAGGGGGCCGGTGCTGTGGCGCAGCAGGTTAATGCCCTGGCCTGAAGCGCCGGCATCCCATATGGGCGCCGTTTGGAGACCTGGCTGCTTTACTTCCTATCCAGCTCTCTGCTGTAGCCTGGGAAAGCAGTAGAAGATGGCCTAAGTCCTTGGGCCCCTGCACCTGCATGGGAGACCTGGAAGAAGCTTCTGGCTCCTGGCTTCAGATCGGCGCAACTGCCCCCTTCCTGCCTCTCCTCTCTCTGTGTAACTCTAATGTTCAAATAAATAAATCTTAAAAAACAAAAACAAAAACAAAAAACCACTCGGACTTTTTGGAGTGATTGTCCTTCAATCTACATGGGACTTTTTTTTTTTTTTTAAGATTTATTTATTTACTTGAGAGGCAGGGTTACAGACAGAGAGGAAGATTCAGAGAGGTCTTCTATCTGCTGGCCAAATGGCCTTAGTAGCTGGAGCTAAGCTGATCTGAAGCCAGGAGCCAGGAGCTTCTTCTGGTCTCCCACATGGATGCAGGGGCCCAAGGACTTGGGCCATCTTCTACTGCTTTCCCAGGCCATAGCAGAGAGCTGGATTGGAAGTGGAGCAGCTGGGGCTTGAACTGGTGCCCATGTGAGATGGCAATGCTGCAGGAGGATGCTTAACCTACTACGCCACAGCGCTGGCCCCTCTACATGGCATTTCTAACACGTGAGGAGCTGTGCTAGGCCCACAATAGAATAAGCCAGAAGATAGCTAGTTGTGTCTTTTGATCATGAAAGGGTGATTTATTTATTTATAGGATAATATTATTTATTTGAAAGGCAGAGGGGGAGAGAGAGAGAGAGAGAGAGAAAGAATCGTTCTACTGGTTCACTCCTCAATTCTAAAATACCTGTAACAGCTGGGGCTGGGCCAGGGCGGAAGCCAGGAACCTCAAACTCAATCCAGGTCTCCCATGTGGGTGGCAGGGACCCGACTACTTGAGCCCTCATGTGCTGTCTCCCAGGGTGCTCATCAGCAGGACGCTGGAATGAGGAGTGCAGCTGGGACTTGGACCCAGGCACTCTGATATGAGATGTGTGCATTCCAAGTGTCGTGACTACTAGAACGAATATCCATCCCTTGCTGTAAGCTATTTTAAAAGGCACGATGAGCCCCTGATCTCTTTCTAGGGGTCGTAACTCTCAGCAGAAGGAAGCCTTCTGTTTGGGACTCCCCCAGGGGTCAGCAGTTTGTCTCTTACAGCTCCTGAATGTGTCAGGAGCCACAGCTGAAGGGTAAAGATTTCAGGAAACAGGTAAGGCTTTCATTTTCATGTCAGTTTTCTTTGAAAGACTACACACACACCCACACACACACACACTTCTTTACATGCATGTTAACATAAATATTGTAGTAGACATTGTTTGTCCAAGGCAGTCCTCCCAATGACAACAGGAGTTCCTGCCTATCTCTGGTTTTGCTTTTGAGATTTTTATGACCGAAAGTCAACCGTGGTCCAAACTGTGTCACATGATTACAAGAAGGAGGCAAGCACAGTATAGCAAGGTGTTTTGAGACCAAGAGAGGCCACAGTCACTTAACGTCTACTCCTAGTGTTACAATGGTTCTGTTTCACTATTAGATATTGCTGTATCTTACTGTGCCTACCTTATACATCACCCAAATACCTTTTCCCATACATAGGTATGTATAGGAAAAAATCACAGATGCAGGGTTCAATACTGTCTGAGGTTCCAGGCATCCTCTGAGGGTCTTGTAACGTATCCCCCCCAGGTAGGAGGGGACTATCATAATGATAATGATTGGAACTGGCATGTGGTATGGAGGGTTAAGCTGCTCCTTATGATCTTGGCATCACACATTGAAGTGTCTGTTGGAGTCCTGGCTACTTGGCTTCAGATGCAGCTCCGGGCAACCTGCCTGGGAAGGCGGCAGAAGATGGGTCAAGTGCTTGGGCTCCTGTACTCACATGGATGACTTGTATGGAGTTCCTGGCTTCTGGCTTTGGCCTGGCCCATACTGGCATTTGGGGCCATTTGGAAGAGTGAACCAGCAGATGGAAGATTCTCTCTCCTCTCTCTCTCTCTCTGCTTTTCAATTAAATAGATAAATCTTTTAAAAAATGATGATGATGATGATGCTAGGACAGTAGTCAGCGTATGTTGAGAGCTGTATATGTATCAGGAAATTTTGTAAGTGCCTTGCATATAGTATCTCAATTAATCACACAACTCTGATTTAGGAGCTATTATTATGTCCACTGTACAGATAAGGAAACTGATGCACAGAGGATTAAGAAAACTGCCTGTATCCTCACAGCCTTGCAGGCAGCGTGGCTGGGATCCGAAGCAAGGGTTCTGGCTCCAGACCCCAGGCTCCTTGCTGCTAAGCCAGACGACCTCCTGGGCACATTGGGGCATATGTCACTGTGGCTGGAAGCTGGCCACAGCATATTCTCAGCCGAGGGAAATTTTCTCCACCAGAGAGTGGCTTCCTGCAGAGATTTCTGGTTAGATTTCTGAAGCAATGCCATTTTTAAAATTTTTAAAAATTTCATTGTTACTGTGACGATTACTTCAGAAAAATGAATACCAACACATTCAGGATTATTGGGATGGCCGCCTTGTAACCGCAGTTTACGTCTAACTTATGTTCATGAACACTTGAAAGTCATGAAAAACAACAACTGCAGCTCAACGCCACGCTCCACATTATTTTATTTCCTTTCCAGAGGGCTCGTAGATTACTTCGACTCCACGCAGCTAAGTCTTGTTCTAGAAATGTGATGACCGGCTCTTTCAGTATATACAGCAACTGCCTCCCCTTTCCTCCGCAGTGCTCGGATTAGGAGATTTACGGTAAAGCCTTGTTTCCAAGGAGGTCGGGACAAAAAAAAAAAAAAAAAAAAAAGCCAGACTTCTACCGGCAGTTAAGCTTTCCAACCATTCCAGCGATTTGTTCTCCGGGAGATGTTTATACCAGAAAAGGCTCAGCCGGGGGTATCTATCCGCTTCCCCTGTGCCTCGGGTCTTTGGTGGGGTTGCTAAATGGCCCAGGCTAAGATGAGCTGCTCCTCTCCGGATCATGGAAAACCTGGAATCAAGGCTCAAGAATGCCCCCTATTTCCGCTGTGAGAAGGGAAGCGACCTGGTCCCCGTGTGCCAGAAGTGCGAGACGTGCGTGCTGGCGTGGAAGATCTTTTCCACTAAAGAGTGGTTCCAGAGGATCAGCGAGACGTGGCAGAGGCGGTTCCTCGTCAGCATCCTGCAGCAGCTAAATCATCTGCACCTGCTCCACTATTTCCAGACCATCCTTCAGAGCACCCAGGGCAAGGACTTCGTCTACCACCGGGCCCGGATCTCGCGCAGCCGCAAGGAAGGGAAGGTCGTGAGGTCGTCCTTGAACCAGATGTTGGACAAGACAGTGGAGCAGAAGATGAAGGAGATATTGTACTGGTTTGGGAACAGCACGCACCGGACCAAGGCCAATTTCACCCTCTTGCTGCTGCAGATATGCAACCACAAACTGCTGCTCACTGCTGCCAATGTGATCCGAGTCCTGTTTGCCAGGGAGTGGAAGAGAGTTTCAGGTAATCAAGGACCAGGGCGCCCCCTAGAGACCAGAAAGCAAGACTTCAGGAGCCCGCGGGTGTGTAGACCAGCGTAGGTAGCCGAGGATTGTCCAGGGCACAGCACAGGGCTCTTTGAACTGGCACCCAACCTGTTTGCCCAAGGAGAGGTTGCTGAATGTGACTTCCTTCTAGAAGACTGTAAAATGATAGATGTACAAGGCAGAACAGAACCTTTGACTGTTGGGCATTTTAGTGAATTTCTGCACCCCTCCTGCCCAGAAATGGCTGGTCCCCCGCTTGTGGCTGGCTATGCAATGCTGGTGCCATTCCCAAAGTGGGGACTGCGCTGGGTTTGGCAGGAATCAGGTAAGGAAGAAGCTGCTGAGTCATTTTGTTCCTCAGCTGTCCTGCGTGGGAACCAGGCTAATACACATAGTCATCCCACCAAATTTCTTACCCATAAAATCAGACCTTGAAGTAGAGTTGATCCAACACTGGAGCTCAAGGGCAAAAATTAGTCCAAGGCAGTAGTTCCCAAGCTAAAGTCTGCATCAGGAGAACGGGTTAAACCGCAGATCTTTAGGCTCCAGCCTCAGGACTTCGGATTCTGCAGGTCTTAGGTGGGTCCCGAGATCCTGTATTACTTTCTTTTTAAAATATTTTAGTTTTTTACTTGAAAGGCTGAGAGAGAGAGAGAGCACTCCATGGAGGCGTGCTCAGAATTTGACGGCTTGAAGCTGGGCGATTCCTATCACGAATGAGACTTGAGTTGTGGTCAGATATGTAGGAGGTGGGGTTGTGGCACAGCTCGTTAAACCTCTTTTGGTGACACTGGCGTCCCACATCGGAGTGCCAGTTTGAATCCTGGCTACTCTGTTTGCAATCCAGCTCCCTGCTTATGTGCCTGGGAAGGCAGCAGAAGATGGCCTAGGTATTTGGGCTCTTGCCACCCATGTGAAGACCAGGATGCAGTTTACGGTTCCTGGCTTTGGCCTGGTCCTGATTTGCTCAGACCTAGATGTTACTGCTATTTGGAGAGTAAACCAGCAGATGGACGCTCTCTCTCTAGCTCTTGCCTCTCTCTCTCTGTTATTCTACCTTTCAAGTAAGTAAATCCTTTGAAAATAAAGAGTTAAAAAATGAAAAAAAAGGTATAGAAAATGGAATAAAAGCTACAATTATTTTGCTGGAAAACATCTTTAATATCCATGCATAGTTTTTTCATAATACACATTTCCCCTGAATGCTTTGAAGAATTTTTAAAGAAAGCTTTTATTTCATGAATACAAATTTCATAAGTACAGCTTTAGGAATATAGTGGTTCTTCCCCCCATACCCATCCTCCCACCCCTACTCCTGTTCCACCTCCTACTCCCTCTCCCATTGCATTGAAGAATTTTTTTTCAAAACTTTGAAACCCATTCATCCGAGAAGTCTTCAAAATATTCATGGAAAATGTGCATGATGAACAAATCCATGTACGGATTTCAATTTTGTTTGTATCAAAATAAACCAATCTTTTAATTCTGTTTTTTTTTTTTTTCCATGAACTTGTGGAAGGACCCTCGTGTATAGAACTCTCATACCTTTTCCATCGTAGGTGGGCTGCCAAACCTAACAGGGGGTTTTCTAAGATTTTTGCATGGAAACTTAGAGGAAACCCAGATCAACACAGACATAACTGCCTTGGTCCCTTTTGTGTATATTTCAAAGAAGCAAGGAAAATGGAAACCATTCCTCTCCCTTTCAATTTCACCCACACACCTGTCTCGGTCTTTTGTCCACCAGGGTTCGGTCCAGACTCTACTGATGTGCTTTTTTTCCCTGAGAAAGACTACAACTCCAAGTCTGAGACCTCACACGTCTACTGGGCTGCCAGACCCAGGCCTGTATCCTTCCCTTTGTCCAAAGCCTCAGGAAATCAACACACCCCCTCGGATAATACCGTAAAAGCACTGGACACTGGTACGTCAACTTTTAGCAAGAACGCTAACATAGGTTATCCTCAACTTAGATGATTTGACTAACAGGTTTTTTTTTTTAACTTTAGGCTGAGCGTGTCTGAATATAATCCCATCATCAGTCGAGGAGCGAATGGACTTAAGTTGGTTTCTGATTTTTTTTTTTGACTTACAATTGGTTTATCAGGGTACTAAGTTCATTCGTGACTTAGCAGTACTTTGGACGTAACAGTGGGTTTTCTGGAGAGATATAACCCCTTGTAAGTTAAGGAGCATCTGTCTATATAAGATTGGGAATTCCCAAGGGCTTTGGAGGGGCTGGCAGGGCCGCAGCACCTGGGGGTGGAGGATTTGGGGAATTAACATCCATTTAGCACCTACAATGTCAGGCTTTTTGATAGATATTTTCTCCTTCATTGACTCCTGAAGATTGACAACAGGAAGAACCAAGATTAAAATTGGTCAGTACGGCCCTAAAATCCATGTTTTAACATCTCTGCCATGGTGCCTCCAAGAGACACTGGAAAGAGGTAGAGATCTGAAGTCTCCCCGGTCCCAGGCCACAGTTCTGCCTCTATAGCCTTTATTTTTATTTATTTATTTATTTATTTTTGACAGGCAGAGTAGATAGAGAGAGAGAGACAGAGAGAAAGGTCTTCCTTTTGCCGTTGGTTCACCCTCCAATGGCCGCTGCGGCTGGCGTGCTGCGGCCGGCGCACCGCGCTGATCCGAAGGCAGGAGCCAGGTGCTTCTCCTGGTCTCCCATGGGGTGCAGGGCCCAAGCACTTGGGCCATCCTCCACTGCACTCCCTGGCCACAGCAGAGAACTGGCCTGGAAGAGGGGCAACCGGGACAGAATCTGGCACCCAGACCAGGACTAGAACCCGGTGTGCTGGCGCCGAAAGGCGGAGGATTAGCCTAGTGAGCCGCGGCGCCGGCCCCTCTATAGCCTTTAAGCTCTGGCAGGGTGGGCACCTTTAGGTTCAGCCTAGTGGTGTCTACTTTGACAGCACTGGATTCAGTCCCGAGGATGAGACTGAAGCATTTGGGGAATTTGGTCCCTGCCTTCAAGGCCCTCCTGAGTTTTTGAAGCAACAGATAGATGAAGGGTCATCAAAAAGTCCCTGGGAAATACTCATTATGAAAAAAGCTATGCACAGACTTCACAATTCTTTGCACCAAAAGTAACCTTATCTTTTAATTCTATTTTTCCCAGAGCTCAATGTATCACGACAAGAATGTCTTCTGAGAAACATGTCACTAGACAATTTTTTAAAATATTATTTATTTATTTAAAGTCAGAGTTACACAGAGAGAAGGTGAGGCAGAGAGAGAGAGAGAGAAAGAAAGAGAGAGAGAGAGAGAGAGGTGTCTTCCATCCTATGGTTCACTCCCCAATTGGCTGCAACGGGCGGAGTTGTGCCGATCCAAAGCCAGGAGCCAGGAGATTCTTCCGGGTCTCCCACTCGGGTGCAGGGGCCCAAGGACTTAGACCATCTTCCACTGCTTTCCCAGGCCATAGCAGAGACTAGTGGAGCAGCTGGGACTCAAACTGGTGCCCATATGGGATGCCAGCACTGCAGGCACCAGCTATGCCACAGCACCATCCTAGACAATTTTGTTGTACTGTGAACAGCATGGAGTTGACTTACCCAAGCATGTGTAGCATAGCCTCCAACCCATTTAGGTGGATGGATGCCATTGTAGATGCAGTCCAACATTGACTAAAATGTTACACCATGCTTTTACTGCACACGGAGTGACCACAGAAAACACAAAGCATAGACTGTAAGCCACTTAGGGAAAATTTCAAATTCCCAAGATACAACAGTATGATAAATACCCACACGGTCATCATCCAGCTTCAACAGTTACCAATATTTTACTCATTCTCCCTTGAAAAATTTGTCTAGCATTCTTTCTTCCTGGAAATTCCGGACGATACCATTCCCTTTCAGACTTTGATGCTACTGAGCTGAAGAGTCTGAAAAGAACTTGTGTGACTGGCTCAGCAGTTTCCGCTTCTCATGGAGCAGAGGATGTGGACTGTGATGAGCTTTATTTTGGGGGCGAGCTTTGCACGAGGGCTGATTCTTGGCCTGGAGTGACGGCAGAGACCACTCAAATATGCACCCTTCTCTGGCTTCACTCTAGCGGGACCATGGAGGAGTTCGCTCCAGTGTATCTCGGAGATGAATAGGCTGTTTACTGGAAAAGCAAGCATATCCAAGCCAGGGTTCGACCCCTACAATCTGCTCATGAGCGTGGACGACATCAGAGACCTGTCTTCTGGGTGCAGCAAATACCGGGACTTTATCCGCTACTTGCCCATCCACCTTTCCAAGTACATTCTAAGTATGTGGGGGGATCGTAGGGGGCTTCTCAGAGACCTGTCATCTGGACCCAGTTCTGGGGTTTCCGGGTCCATCTGTATCTCCCTTCCCTCTCCCCCAGGAATGCTGGATAAAAATACCCTGAACAAGTGTGCCTCTGTGAGCCAGCACTGGGCCGCCATGGCTCAGCAGGTCAAGATGGAGTTGGCCATGCATACTTTCATTCAGAACCAGGTTGCCGTGTTGCAGGTACTTGCTGGCTGGGAGGGGAACATCGGGACACCAGCCTCATCCCCATGTTGGGGTTGACCTGAACCTGAACTTTTCCATCTCCCCGGTAGACCCCTGGCTGTCCTCCAGCTCCACATGTGGCCGTTGTACCTTCTTTGGCTTCTGCAATCACTTTTTTTATTTTTATTTATATATATATATTTTTTTTTGACAGGCAGAGTGGACAGTGAGAGAGACAGAGAGAAAGGGCTTCCTTTTTGCCGTTGGTTCACCCTCCAATGGCCGCCACGGCTGGTGCGCTGTGGCCGGCACACTGTGCTGATCCGAAGCCAGGAGCCAGGTGCTTCTCCTGGTCTCCCATGGGGTGCAGGGCCCAAGCACTTGGGCCATCTTCCACTGCACTCCTGGGCCACAGCAGAGAGCTGGCCTGGAAGAGGGGCAACCAGGACAGAATCCGGTGCCCCGACCGGGACTAGAACCCAGTGTGCCGGCGCCGCAAGGTGGAGGATTAGCCTAGTGAGCCGCGGTGCAGGCCAACAATCACTTTTAAATTCTTGGTCTGGACTGGACTTCCTGTGGATCCCCCTGTACTCTCCATTTGTCATTGCATCTAGCAGGGACAACGTGTATGTAAACCTCAAGGGCACAGCGTGGCAGAGTCTTTCCAACACTTCCTTCACACAGCGGGGAATTACATCCCCGCTCCCCCAGGATTTATATTACTATTTACACAATAAGAAAGACACAGAGCCGGCGCCGTGGCTCAATAGGCTAATCCTCCACCTTGCGGCGCCGGCACACCGGGTTCTAGTCCCGGTTGGGGCGCCGGATTCTGTCCCGGTTGCCCCTCTTCCAGGCCAGCTCTCTGCTATGGCCAGGGAGTGCAGTGGAGGATGGCCCAGGTGCTTGGGCCCTGCACCCCATGGGAGACCAGGAAAAGCACCTGGCTCCTGGCTCCTGCCAGGATCAGCGCGGTGCGCCGGCTGCAGCGGCGGCCATTGGAGGGTGAACCAACGGCAAAAGGAAGACCTTTCTCTCTCTGTCTCTCTCTCTCACTGTCCACTCTGCCTGTCGCCAAGGTAAAAGAGAAAAAAAAAAGACACAAATATGCCTCTGGGTCAGTCTGATAGGATACACAGAAGTTTACAAGGCCTCCACGTACATGTTTAGATTAAAATGCAATTTTCTCCCTAATAGTAATTATCTCAAACATTTTTACTTCTTGGTTGCTTGTTCTAAGGCTAACCCTACATCATAGAGTCCTGATGGCTTGGATTTTTTCCCCAGCAGAGCTAGCTGACAGGGCATGAGAAGAAGCAGGCATGGAGAGGCAGATTGTCATCTGGAATCTGCTGACCACCTTTTGCCGGTCTCCGGCCAGGCATTTGGTATCCATTATCCTCTGCATGCAATGTCTGCGTAATCAGCCAGGTCTTGGCCTGCCTTCCTCAGCCAGCGCCTATCTATCTTTCAGTTTTTGCCAAGAAATATTTTTTTTCCTTCTTCCGGGGGGAGTAGGAACAAAGAGTAGCCAATTTTCTGTCTATTTAAAACTAATTTAAAATTTTTCTTTAATATTGTCTATATTTTTCAAGTACGATATGAGGTTTTATTTTTTAAGATTTATTTATTTATTTGAAAGTCAGAATTACACAGAGAGAGAAGAGGCAGAGAGAGAGAGAGATCTTCTATTAGATGGTTCACTCCCCAACTGGCCACAAAGGCCAGAGCTGCACAGATCTGAAGCCAGGAGCCAGGAGCTTCTTCTGGGTCTCCCACTTGGATCATCTTCTACTGCTTTCCCAGGCCATAGCAGAGAGCTGGATCGGAAGTGGAGCTGCTGGGACTAGAACCAGTGCCCATATGGGATGCCAGTGCTTCAGGCCAGGGCGCTAACCTCCTGTGCCACAGTGCTGGCCCCGATATGAGGTTTTGAAAGTAAATACTTTGTGGGATGGCTAGTTAGATAACCAAAAAATGTATCACCTCACAGACTTCTCATTTTTGTGATGAGAACACTGACCATCCGCTCTTGACCCTTTTCAAAAATAGACTATATTGTCATTAACTATAGTCACCATGGTTACAACAGATCTCTTAAATTTGTGCCTCCTATCTGACTATAATTACATATCCTTTGACCAATATTCCCCCATCTTTCGCTCCCCACCCCAACTACCCCAGGAATCATCATTATACTCTCTACTTGTGTGAGCTCAATGTTTTTAGTTTCAGCATGTAAGTAAGATCATGCATTTTTGACTTCCTGTGCCTTGTTTATTTCAACATAATATCCTCCAGGAATACCCATATTGCAAATGATAGGACCTCCTTCTTTTTCAAGGCAGACTGGTGTTCTATTGTGTGTGCACATCACATTTTCTTGATCCGGTCACCCACAGACGGGCTCTTAGGCTGGGCACTGTGAATGATGCTGTGATGAACATGGGAGTGCAGGTATCCAAAAGTAGCATTTTCTGTCTTTTGTTTTTTTCCAGGGATCCTTCATGAGAGGAGTAGATCCTAATTACGCCAACAAACTGTCTATCCCAGTTCCTAAAATGGTAGAGGATGGCAAGCGCACGCAAACGAAAAATCCAAAATTGAAACTGAGGACAAAGGTGCGTCCCGGTGGGATCCAGGGCAAATTGCGGTGAAAGTCACATTTTTATGAGCCATTGGAAGCCTGAATTTCAGACTCAGCCTGCAAGGAAGGGCAGAGGATCCTAGCAAGGATTCCTTGTTCCCGAAAGGAGACCAGAAGTTCTTCCGTGTTGCTCTTCACTTGCAAGTCACTTCCGTTCCTTAAGTTTTGATTTCCTCATCCGGTAAATGAATAGATTGATTTCACTTCCTCTCACGGTTTTCCCTTCCTTCAAACCCCATGGCCATGTCCCCTGTCTTTGGCACTGGGTCATCCAGTGGAGAGTTCAGAGGCCAGGAGCGATGTCATCAGAGCTGGGATCCCGTAACCCCTGTCAGCCCACACATCTCATGCTACTCCAATCTGTTTCTCAGGAATGAGCACAACATGGCGGTAGGATCAGGGTTTGGAATGAATTCAACCTCCTCAGTTCTCATGGTCAGGTTCATTCTCTGGGATGCAAGAGGAGGCCTCCCCACCAATTTGGGGGCAATAACGACTGCATTTGAGCTCCATGCTATGCCTATCTAGGAATGGTTGTTATTCCTAAAATAATCAGATTCCTGCTCCCTTTTCCCTGTTCAAATTCCTTCTGTTTTGAAGTCTATGTAAACGGCTGAAAAGTGACACTTACTGAGGGGTGGTCTGACTGTGGCTTTCCATAAGGTAACTGTATGGGATAAAATTTGAATTTGAGGCTGGCGCCGCGGCTCACTAGGCTAATCCTCCGCCTTGTGGTGCCGGCACACCAGGTTCTAGTCCCAGTCGGGGTGCTGGAGTCTGTCCCGGTTGCTCCTCTTCCAGTCCAGCTCTCTGCTGTGGCCCAGGAAGGCAGTGGAGGATGGCCCAAGTGCTTGGGCCCCTGCACCCGCATGGGAGACCAGGAGAAGCACCTGGCTCCTGGCTTCGGATTGGCACAGTGCACCGGCCGTAGCGGCCATTTTGGGGGTGAACCAACGGAAGGAAGACCTTTCTCTCTGTTGCTCTTTCTCACTAACTCTGCCTGTCACAAACAAACAAACAAACAAAACAAAACAAAAAAAGACTGAAGCAGTGATGGGGTCTTCTAGAAAGGGTGAGGCTGGATTCTTCTGAGGGGTGATACTCACAGTAGGCGCTCTACTGAGTCCACACACTATGCCTGGCACTGTGCTAAGATCTTTGTATGCATCATCTACTTGATTTGACCACAGGCCAAGTAGATGTCATTGCTCCCCGTTTATGGATATGGAAATGAGGGCCATGGTCTTAGAAGACTCGCTCAGGTTCATTAGCAAAGCTGGGATTGAAACCAGGTCCTTTTCCTCCCAATGACTGCACCGCTCATAAAACTTAGGAGAGAAGCAAGAGCCAAGGGATTCTCACCTGCAAAGCCTCATTTAATTCCAGTGGGGGCTATGGGAAGCTGCCTGGACACTGGAGAGGAGGAAGACCGGCAGATCTTTCTGGGGAGAGAATTCTAGGTGGGCAGCACTCCTTGCTTAAAGATTAAGAAAGGGAGTGAGTGGAGGGCAGTGGTCTCTCCTGGGGGAAGAGTCGAAAGGCGTGGAGGAGACTTCAGAGATGTGTCCAGGAGGACTCTCAGATACAAAGGTGGTGCCCTGGTTTGCTCTGCCTTTATGCTAAGCCCAGGCTGGGCTTTCTCTCCTGCTAGTCTAGTGGGAGTGTGCCTTGCTGCTGTTCGAGGGTGGACTATGCTTGGGCAGACACCTAGGCCAGAGTTTAGCACGGCTGGAGTGCCTTAGCTGTGCAGAAGGTGTGTGAGGGGGCAAGGCGGGCATGGAGGGACCGTGGGAGGGAGTGAAGAAAGGAAAGAAGGGAGGAAGGATTGGGAAGCCAAGAAAAGCACCCCGATTGAGACGTGATAACACGTACTTCCCTGCCTCGAGTCCCAGACACCTCATCTGTAAAATGATGGGCACCCTTTGTGGGCAAATGGGCTGCTTTGTGAGGCAGCTGTGGGGATCAGTGACAACTGTGGATGCACAGGTGCACGACATTGTGGAAACTCAAGTGTGCAGAGTGTGTGGCAGTCATTTCTCGTGTGGCTGAAGTTCCTGTGAGCATGTTTTGTACCATCAGGTGCACGTCTATAAATGTGAAATCTCAGCTTCACTGAATCGGCTTGTCGAAGGCCACCTATGACCTTGTTCCATGAGCAGACCCTGGACAAGCTCATGTTCAAAGAGGCTGGGAGTGGGATTCAGCCTTGAAAATTCATGGAATCAGAGCACATGGGAAAAAGAGAGATGGGAGAAGAGCTAGGGCCTTTGACTCAATGTTTTCTAACTCAGGGATTACTTTGGTGCCTCGTCATTGGTCCTGTCCCATCACCACATGGCAGCAGCCACGCTCTTCAGAGAACCATCCTTGTATCTTTGCCAGGGGAGATTCTAGGGGGCATGCAGACCCTGATAAAGTTCCTACCATACTCTAACTCCGCAAATTCACTTGTTAGAATGACTACAACCTGTGGACTGCATACCAGAACCAAGAAACTCAGCAGATCCAGATGGAGGAGAGAAATGTGTTCTGCGGGACCTACAATATCCGCATTCTCTTTGACACGTAGGTATTGGGGTCACGATCTCCACCTTCAGGGGACTCATAAATTGTCCAACCCTTGTAGACATGGAAAGGTGGTCCTTGTCTCACCTCCAGCTCCATCCTCAAACTTGCATGAGATCTCATTTGGGCAATAGGTATTTGATTTTGCATCACTCAGGTAGTGGGCAGAAGACACTTCCCTTTTATAAATTTTGGGGTATACTAACCAAGTCATGTGCATGAGATCCTTTGTTGGAATACAAGGGCACTTCAAAATGCTCATGAAAAAATGGAATTGCAAGATAAGTTTATTTTGGTGTAAATTTTTTTGAAATCCATGCATACCTTTTTCAAAACATGCACTTTCCATGAATTTTTTTAAACCCATTGTATATACCCACTGAATATTGGTTAAGATGGGAAATGCAATATGTATAGGGCTTTATAGTTGTTCTTCTGACTTTTTAAAACAGATTTATTTATTTGAAAGGAAGAGTGACAGGGAGAGGAGAGAAAGAGACAGAGATCTTCCATCAGCTCTTTCCCTCCCAGATGGCTGCAACAGCCAAGCTTTAGTCTTATCAAAGCCAGGAGCTGGGACCTCCATCTGGGTTTCCTATATGGGTGGCAGGGACCCAAGTACTTGGACCATCTTCCACTACCTTCCCAGGAGCCTTAGCTGGGAGTTGAATTGGAAGTGGAGCAGCCAGGATTCAAACAAGAGCTCCTGTATGGGATGCTGGCACTGGAAGCAGCAGCTTAACCTGCTGTGCCACATCCCCGGCTCCTCATCTGAGCTCTTCCATGATAAAAGGTTTCCATGGCCAACCAAGTTTGGAAAACGCCACACATACTAGTCTCTCTCTTGGGAATTTAGCACACACAAGCAGATTAAGAAAATGTTTGTCCTCTATCTTTAGGCTTTAAATCCACCTGAAATGGAAGTTTGTTATGGTGTGAGATAGGGATCCACTGGGTCCAACTGAGACTGGACTTTGCCTTCTGTTGCCTCTCTGGTTGAAAGGCCCTGCATTTTCCTTTACACCAGCACTGTTGGTGAAAGTCACGATGCTAAGTTCCAGGAAGGACACTAACTCTTCTTTCGTGTTTAATTCTCCTTCTCTCCCCTGGCAACTCAGGTGGGACCAGAACAGAGTCATCCACTACTCTGGGGGAGATTTAGTTGTTGTGTCATCTAATCGGAAGATCCATCTTCTGGATATCGTACACATTAGAGAGGTACCCGTCGAGTTCCGAGGCCACGCCGGGAGCATTCGGTCTCTTTTCTTGTGTGAGGAGGAAAACTTTCTCCTGAGCGGCAGCTATGACCTAAGTATCAGGTAAGCAGCCGAAGGAGATCACGAACCCCACATGCACCTAGGGCCTACAGGCAGCTCCCTACCTTTCACAGCATAGTCTTTGCCTAATGGTCAACGCTGTCTTGGACATGTTTAAGATCCTCCCTACAGCACAGCCATGATGACTGGCCCCTGTGATGCCTTTTTAAAGTTTCACTTTGGCCGGCGCCGTGGCTCACTAGGCTAATCCTCCACCTTGCGGCGCCAGCACACCGGGTTCTAGTCCCGGTCGGGGCTCCGGATTCTGTCCTGGTTGCCCCCCTTCCAGGCCAGCTCTCTGCTGTGGCCCGGGAGGGCAGTGGAGGATGGCCCAAGTGCTTGGGCCCTGCACCCCGTGGGAGACCAGGATAAGTACCTGGCTCCTGCCTTTGGATCAGTGCAGTGCGCCGGCCGCGGCAGCCATTGGAGGGTGAACCAACGGCAAAAAGGAAGACCTTTCTCTCTGTCTCTTTTTCTCACTGTCCACTCTGCCTGTCAAAAAAAAAAAAAGTTTCACTTTACACTCATTATTTCCAGTTTTACCTGTCATCTTTAGGTCTGAAGTCTACCTAAGACTGAGTTTTGTTATGGCATGAAGTAGGAATCCAGTTCCTTCTCCTTCTTTCTTTTTTTTTTTTTTTTAAGATTTATTTTATTTGTTTGAAAGGCAGAGAGACACAGAGTGAGAGGAAGACAGGGAGAGGGGGATCTTCCATCTACCAGTTCACTCCCTAGATGGTCACAACAACCGGAGCTGAACCAGGCTGAAGCCAGGAGCCAGGGACTCCATCTGGGTCTCCCATGTGGGTGGCAGGTGTCCAAGCACTTGGACCATCATTTCTGCATCAGTAGGGAGCTGAACCAGAAACAGAACATCTAGGACTGACACCGGTGTTGTGATTTGGGATGCTGGAGTCACAAGTAGCAACTTAACCCACTGCACAACACTGGCCGCTTCTCTTGGTTCCTACCTTGTGCATCCGCCTTATGTTTCCTTGAACATCCATGCTACCATCTAGTTGGGGGCTTCTAGGTCTGGGTACGCATTTTACTACTTGCTTCTCTAGCAATGGATACTTCGTCCCCTACGCATGATGTTGGCTGAACATCTTCCTATTCGTCTCTGATTACAGAGACTAAGATATTCTCTAGGGATATGCTCCCAGGAGTGGGCTGGCTGAGGCACAGGTTAGGCAGCGCCTAACCTAACTAACAAGTCCAGAATGACCCACAGGTCTGCACTGTCACCCAGCAGGTCTCCTGTGTCTGCGTCCAGACCTCATCCAGCTTTCCCATTTCTGCCAGATGAATACGTGCACAATCATTTCTGTTGCTCTGTTGCTCCTTACCTGCACCGTTATCTTCTTTTGTAATGTTTCTTTTTTTAAAGATTTATTTATTTATTTGAAAATCACAGTTACTCAGAGAGAGAAGGAGAGGCAGAGAGAGAGAGAGAGAGAGAGAGAGGTCTTCCATCCTCTGGTTCACTCCCCAATTGGACACAATGATCAGAGCTGTGCCAATCTGAAGCCAGGAGCCAGAGCTTCTTCCAAGTCTCCCATGTAGGTGCAGGGGCCCAAGGACTTGGGCCATCTTCTGCTGCTTTCCCAGGCCATAGCAGAGAGCTGGATCAGAAGTGGGGCAGCCGGGACTCGAACCGGTGCCCATATGGGATGCCGGTACTGCAGGCGGCAGCTTTACCTGCTACGGCACAGCGCTGGCCCCACAGTTATATTCTTTTGTAAACTGCCCACTGCGTCCTCTGTCAAGTTTTCTACCCAGACCACTCAGTTTTCTTATCTATTTGCAGTTCCTTGCATTTCCTTACAGATGTTGGTCCCTTGTCAGTTTTAAAATATCATCTCTCACTCTTCCATCTGTTAACTTTGTCCATGATTGAGCCAGAATTTTTACTACTGACTTAAGAAACTCGATGGTTGATCAGACTGGTTCCCCCCGCCCCCCGCCAAACTCACATCTTCTTATTTCAAAGTCACAGAAATCCTTTCCAATGTTTTCTTCTATTGGCTTTACAGTTTTACCTTTTGCATTCAGTTCTCAATCCACTTGGAGTTCAACTTTGTATGTCATGTTAGTTAGGGTCTCCATTTTATCTGTTTACTTTCCAATAAAGTGAGCAGTTTTCCCACTCCATAGCAGCTCGCCGTGTCTCCCACCGCTTTGGGTAATCCCCTGACAATTTCCTATATGTGCACGAGCATGTCTGAGCTCTCTATTCTGGTCCATTGATCTGTTTCTGGTCCATTTTCTGTTCTTGCATCAAAGCCATTTTAAAATTTTTTTAGAAGGCCGGCGCCGTGGCTCAATAGGCTAATCCTCCACCTTGCGGCGCCGGCACACCGGGTTCTAGTCCCGGTCGGGGCACCGGATTCTGTCCCGGTTGCCCCTCTTCCAGGCCAGCTCTCTGCTATGGCCAGGGAGTGCAGTGGAGGATGGCCCAGGTGCTTGGGCCCTGCACCCCATGGGAGACCAGGAAAAGCACCTGGATCCTGGCTCCTGCCATCGGATCAGCGCGGTGCGCCGGCTGCAGCGGCGGCCATTGGAGGGTGAACCAACGGCAAAGGAAGACCTTTCTCTCTCTGTCTCTCTCTCTCACTGTCCACTCTGCCTGTCAAAAATAAAAAAAAATAAAAAAAAATTTTTTTTAGAATACTTATTTATTTATTTTGAAAGTCAGAGTTACAGAAAGAGGGAGAGACAGAGAGAGATCTTCCATCTACTGGTTCACTACCCAGATGGACACAACAGCTAGTGCTGGGCCAGGCTGAAGCCAGGATCCAGGAACTTCTTCCAGGTTTCCCATGTAGGTAGCAGAGGCCCAGGTACCTGGGCCATCATTGTTGCTTTCCCAGGCCATTAGCAGGGAGCTGGATTGGAAGTGGAGCAACCTATAAAATTTGCAATACTATTGCTATTATTAATGACATCTTACTTTTCTTTCTATTTTCAATTTGGTTGTTCCTGGTATAGAGAAATGTTACTGATTATTGTAATTTGATCTTGTATCCAGCAACCTTGCAAACCTTGTCTCAGTAGTTTTAAAATATTGGATGCTGGGGTCCATGCTGTGGTGTAGTGGGTGAAGCTGCCACCTGCAGTGCCAGCATCCCATATGGGCGCTATTTCGAGACCTGGCTGCTCCACTTCTGATCCAGCTCTCTGCTATGGCTTGGGAAGGCAGCAGAAGATGGCCCAAGTGCTTGGGCCCCTGCACCCGTGTGGGAGACCCAGAAGAAGCTCCTGGCTCCTGCCTTTGGATCGGCACAGCTCCAGCTGTTGTGTCCAATAGGGGAGTGAACCAGAGGATGGAAGACCTCTCTCTCTCTCTCTCTTCCTCTCCTTCTCTATGTAACTCTCACTTTCAAATAAATAAATAAATCTTTAAAAAAACCTTGGATGTTGATTTGGTTTTTCTGTGTAGATGGTCTCATTAACTGCAAATAATGGCAATCTGCCTTCTTTTCTAATGCCTTTACTGCTGTCTCTTTTTTCCTTATATATTTGCCTAGGCTTTCCTGGGCCCTGGTAACCAGTAGTGGAAAGAGTGGGCATGCTTATCTCACTTCCCTTGAAGAGAATTCAGCTGTGGTTTCTCTGTTAAGCATAATAGCTTGTTGTTATCACTTTGGTTTATGGGTTTTATTAAGTCAAAGAAGGTTCTTCTATTCCTATTTTTCTTTTTCTTTTTTTTTTTCATACCATACATTTTTATTGTCATGTTTGGGATATGGCAACTAAGGCAGTTAAACAGGAGAGCAGCCCCGGTTCCTCAAAATGTCAAACACAAGAAAAAGAAAAATGACAAAAGGAAAATAACAAATGGGAAGCATGAGTTTTCCAAATCAAATGAGTTAAGAGTCTGGGTGAAAAGACCTTGACTTGTTCAGTCTCTTCAACAACAAACACTGTTTTTCTTTTTTAAGATTTACTCATTCATTTTGAAAAACAGATGGGTTGGGGAGAGAGATTCCATCTGCAGGTTTACTCCTCAAATGGCTCAAATGGCTAGAGCTGAGCCAGGCCAAAACCAGGAACCAGGAACTCCATCTGGGTCTCCAACATGGGTGCAGGGGCCCAAGCACTTGAACCATCTTCTGCTGCCTTCTCAGGTGCACTGGCAGGGAGTTGGATGGGACTTGGAGCAGCCAGGACTCAAACTGGCACTGCTATGTAGGATGCTGGTGTTGTATATACACAGGAGAGCATTTACTAATCATTTATTATGTGCCAAGCCTCATGATGACTCTACAAGTACTGTTATTATACCCAATTTGCAGATGAAGAAACTGAGGCACAGAGTAGTTCAGTAAGTTATCCAGGATTGCACAGCTAGAAAGTGATGGGACTGGACCTCTAGAAGCTGGTTCTAGAATCTCATTAGCGCACCACTGTATTTTGCCATGTCAAAAGACCCAGGCAAGCTCAAGTGGAAGTCTGTGTTAATGACTTGAGACATGGCAGGCATGTTTTCTTACTGAAAAACAGCACGGCTCATGTGTGCTCCCATGCGCCCCTTAGCTAGGTTGTAGATGCACGTAAAGTATTTCCCATCTAAGTGACTGTTGTCACTCATTTGAGAACCAGCTCAGCCACTGAATCGGAGCCATGGATTCTAAGCCTGGTGGTCATCCAAGGGGGTGACCAGGGTCATCAGGGGCCCTTCCCCCTAAAACCAACTGATACATGCCAGGCGTTGTCTACGTGCTGGGTATTGTTCTACTACTACGTGCATTAGTGCAGGCCTTCTCTGCTTCAGCACCACTGACCGACTTGTGGGGCTGGCAGGGTCTTCATCATGGGGGCTGACCCGGGTGTTGTAGGAGGTGCAGCAGCCCCCTTGGGCTCTGTGCACTTCCTTCCTCACCTATGATCACCAAAAAAGTCTCCAGACATTTCCAAAAGGCCTCCGGGGGTAGAAGTCACCCTTAGTTTACAATTGTTATATTGAATTCCACTCTAAAATCCCTATGAGGTAGCTCTTGTTACCATCATTCCCATTTTCTCAGGAGGCAATGAAGCTTACACAGGAATTAAGTAACTCTCCCAAAATTACACCAAACAGATGTTGCAACTGAGATCCAAACCCAGGTCTCTGACTCTGAGTTTAGCCATGAAACTGCTGCCTTCCAGCTACCTACTGACCTAATGGGCCTCCGTGTAGAATAATCTGCAAGTCCCTTGTAAAATCTCAAAAAACTTTTTTATTTTATTTTATTTTTTGCCTGATTCCTGCAGATACTGGGATCTGAAAAGTGGGGCTTGCCTCCGAATCTTCAATGGCCACCAGGGGACAGTCACGTGCATGGATTTATTCAAGAACAAGCTCGTGTCTGGGGCAAAAGATTGCCAGGTGAAAGGTGAGAGAAAGCAATGCCTTAGATTTTCAAGGAAGTTTCTCCAAATCCGCGGGTTACCAAAATACTTGTGTCTACAGTTACAGGCAATCATTTATTCTTCACACATCCATCCATCCATCCATCCATCCATATATCAATCTAGCCCATCAACAACTATTTGTTGAATACTTGCAATATGTTAGTTAGACACTGTGTTAGATGTTAAAGAGAAAAAAATATGATATGGTCATTTAGATGTGTTTTTAAAAAAATTTTCACTAGGCTCTTAGTCTCCTAATGGAAGCAGATATATTAATATATAATGGGGGACACAATAAGTCCCTGTGAGGACAGCTACCATTTACTGAGCACCCATCATGGGATAGAAACTGGGCCAGGTGCTTTACTATCACTTTAATTCTCCCACGAATCCCATGAGGTGGATATGGATGCGAAATCCAGAACCCAGAGAGCAAAACAACTGGCCCTCAATCAGAGATGTTGAATGGTGGAGGGGATTTGAACCCACAGCTGGTTGGCTCTCAGTCATGGGTCCTAACTGTAGGCAGAGTTCTAAGGAACCACAGAACTAAAAGTCCATTAGGGGAAGCTCCATGTAGAAGTGTGGTCTTGAGATTGGGTAGTTTCACAGGCAGGGTGTCCCAGAGGAGAGAACAGCAAAGACAAATGATTGCAGTAGGAAGTGTAGTCGGGGAATTTCTCACTGTGTGAAGTGGCTGGACTGCAGCGTGTGGTGTTGGCACTAAGGCAGGTGTGTGTGTGTGTGTGTGTGTGTGTGTGTGTGTGTGTCTGGGGCCATTTGGGATCATGGCACTAAACTAGACTTCACCCTGTGGGACACAGAAAAGCCATCAGTGCATTTGAGGGTGGGAATGGACACAATGGAGTGTGTATTTTCCAAAGATGACTCTAATGAGAGTTGGGAAGAGGATTTGGAGACCGGGTGACCCATGTGGGGAAAAGGGGACAAAGTAAGACACTACTCAGTCTAGAGAACTGTCATGATGTCTCCTGAATTCAAGCAAACAAACAAGCGTGGAGAACATCAGAGAGATGTGACTTAACGTTTGATGGCCCAGACGGAAGGAGAATTGGCAGAACTTAGCCACCAGCTGGATGGGAAAAGCGAGGAAGATAGGGGAGAAGATAGTTAGACCAGTGGTTGGTTTTTATTTTTTTTTAATATTTATTTTATTTATTTGAAAGGGTTACAGAGCGAGGTAGAGCGAGAGCAAGAGAGAGAGAGAGAGAGAGAGAGTCTTCCATCCGCTGGTTTACTCCCCAGATGGTCGCGATGGCCAGAGCTGAGCTGATCTGAAGCCAGAAGCCAGGCTTCTTCCAGGTCTCCCACGTCGGTGCAGGGGCCCAAGGACTTGGGCCATCTTTCACTGCTTTCCCAGACCATAGCAGAGAGCTGGATGGGAAGTGGAGCAGCCAGAACTTGAACTAGAGCCCATATGGGATGCCAGTGCTGCAGGCTACGGCTTTAACCTGCTGCACTACAGCGCTGACCCCAGACCAGGGGTTGGTTTTTAAAATGCTGGCCACTGGGTGTATGGAAATCCCATATTGGAAATAGAGTCTACAGGGAAAGAGCGGGGTAGGGCAAAGAATGGGGGAGGAAGTCACAGGTTCGATTCTGGACATGCTGAGTGTGGTAGACAAGATACTGGTCAAAGATGATCCCATGTTAATGCTTGGAACCCGTGACTGTGCTACTGTGTCTGGCAAAGGAACCCTTGCAGATGCAATCAAGGACCTTAAAATGGAGAGATTATCCTGGATTCGTGGGGTGGGGCCACTGTCATGGGCACACTGAGCCCTTACAAACAAAGAAATGCTCCTGGCTGGGAGCAAAGGGAGCTGCGACCATGGAAGAACGGTCAGAGAGATGCAGCATTGCTGGCTCTGGAGGTGGAGGAAGCCACGGAAAGTGTGTGGCCTGCAGAAGCCTACCCAGAGGGCGAGGAAATGGATTCCTGCAGAGCGTCCGTCGTCCGTGGAGGAGCCCATCCCAGCCGACACCTTGATGCGTGACATCTTGGACTTCTGCAGGAGAATTGGCTCCTGCTGTTTTTAGCTACTCAGCTTTAGGGGTTTGTTTTAGCAGCTGTAGGAAGCTGGCGTGTGTGGCTGACATTCCTGAAGACACTCAGGAGGCAGATGCGGGTGTGCACATACCAGACTGGGGCTCTGCACCTGCGGATTTGGTACTTATTGATCTGGTTCCAGGACATGCCCCCCCAAGCCCCTCAGATGCTAAATCCTCCAATGCTCTAGTCTTTGAACATAAAATGGCATAGTATTTAAAAATTTTTTTTTGTTTATTCATTTGAAAAGCGGAGTGACAGAGAGGGAGAGGGGAGAGGAGAGAGGGAAGAAGGGAGAGAGGAGAGGGGAGAGGGAAGAGGGGAGAGGGGAGAGGGAGAGATATCTTCCATCTGTTGGTTCATGCCCCAAAAGACCTCAACAGCAAGGTTTGGACCAGGCTGAAGCCAGGAGCCAAGAACTTCATCCAGGTCTCCCATACAGGTGGCAGGGGCCCAAGTACTTGAGCCATCATCTATTACTCTCCAAGGTGCTTTAGCAGGGAGCTGGATCAGAAGCAGAGGGGCAGGGACTTGAACCAGCATCTGATAGGTGTTCCCCACAATGCTGACTCTGCAGAATACTTACATATAACCTATGCACACCCTCCTGTGTACTTTAAACCATCTTAATTACTCATAAGACCTAATGCATGTAAATAGTTGTTATACTGTGTTGTTCAGAGAGTAATGACAAGGAAAAAAGTCTACGTGTTAAGAACAGGTGCAATTAAAAAAAAAAAGGTATTTTCAATTTAGGGTTGGTTGAATTGCATGCAGAAGGTCTGACTTATGATGAAAGGTAGAAGCCCCAGCTGTGGATGAGAGTTCTTCAGCAAAGCAGGGAAAAGTGAACAGAGAACAGAAGCAAGGGACCTGGATCGCACAGCACGTTAGAGGCTGCAGGAGGGAAAGGTGTGGGAAAAGGACAGTGGAGTGGGCTTACAAATGCAAAGGCTCAGAACTAGGGGAGGAATCTTGCTCCTCCCTGCCCATCTTCCTCCACTTGACCCAGTATGCCATTGCCAGGATTGCTTTGAGGAGTGCACCAGAAGTGGGGAGGGGGACTGTCCAGGTGAGGGTTTGAAGACAGAAGGGAGCCCAGGCTAGGAGAGTCTTAGGGACTCCATGGGGCCAGGACTGGGAAGAGAGGATTTTGCTTCAGGTGTAAAATTTAAGGGAGTACCAAACCAAAACCCCCAACACCAACTTAGTGGTAAAGAAACTTCCATCTAGGGGCTGGCGCTGTGGCATAGTGGGCTAAGCCTCCGCCTGCAGTCCCGGCATCCCTTATGAGTGCCAGTTTGTGTCCCAGCCACTCCTCTTCCAATCCAGCTCTCTACTATGGCCTGGGAAAGCAGTGGAAGATGGCTCAAGTGCTTTGCACCCCTGTGGGAGACCCAGAAGAAGCTCCTGGCTCCTGGCTTTGGATCAGTCCAGCTCCGGCCATTGCGGCCATTTGGGATGTGAATCAGTGGATAGAAGACCTCTTTCTGTGTCTTTCCATCTCTCTGTCTGTAACTCTGCCTCTCAAATAAATAAATAAATTTAAAAAAAATAATAGTACCTGTCTTTTGAAGGTGAGTTAATACCTGTCAAGCACTTTGAATGTTACTGTTAGTGCTATGTGTCAGTGATGGCCATTGTTCTGTTTGTTTTATGGCCTGCGGGAAAAGGTATTTTGGGGGTTGACGAAGCTGACTTCAATGTCTTCATCTCTGAATTTGTGATGCCCACCTATCTACTCTCCTCCCCACCCAACACCTGTGGTACCCAGGCTGCCGCTCTCACACGAGCTGTGCTGAGCAGCATCAACCCCACCCTGGCCATGACAATTCCCCCATAAGATCCAAAATTCAGATTCAGAAGTCCTGAAACATCTAAGTGAGGATAGGCAGCTTTCTTCTCCTTCGAGCACAGATGGTACGGATCAGAGAGACAACAGCGGGGAGGGGTGGTGACATGAAGCACGTGTCATGATTTGCGTGAAATCTACCCAGTAGCAAGCATTTTGCAAACGTGAAGAGTAGGCTTCTTGGAGGTGAACTGTCTAGCACTTGGACTCCAAGGCTAAGTTCCAGGGTCATGGCCAAAACCTTCTGTATTGTCAGTTCTCCCCAGGGGCCCATGGTCAGGGGTCAGGGAGCACTGCGTTGGAAGTACCTGAAGCTGCTACCAGGCCTGGTGCAGGCCTTCTGGGGTCTGGCTAGATGGGCTCAGTGGGTCTTTGCTCCTGTAATGGGGAGTACAATTCCACTGAAAACCTCCTCCATTCTCCCTGTCCCCTTCAGAATGGGATGTAGACACAGGAAAGTGCCTGAGGACATATAAACACAAAGACCCCATCTTGGCCATCAGGATCAATGACACCTACATCGTGAGCAGCTGCGAGCGAGGGCTAGTCAAAGTGTGGCATGTTGACACGGCCCAGCTGGTAAAGGTGAGAGGGCAGTGGGCTGGAAGTGGGGAGGGTGGGGTGGTGCTGGTGGGGACTAGACCATCCCACAGCAGTTGGCTGAAGCAGGGAAGGCTCCATGGTGGGGGAGTGGTGTCATTCTGGCCCAGTATAGGGGTCTACTGCCCACATCATAACCCACGCTGCCATGGGGTTGGTGGAAGAAGGCTTAGCTTGGCTTACGTGGGCCTTTTAACAGTAGCAGAGTATGTTGACTGCTTCTAGATTATTCTACCTTGACTCTGGCATGTGTTGAGTGTGTGAACATAGCACCCTGCCCCCAAGAAGGAAACACTGGGGGATGCATCAATGAGCAAACATTTTCCCCTCCTTATTCTCTAATGAAGTAAGAACACCAGCTGTCTTGGAAGTGACTTGGAGGAGCCTTAGCCCACTTTCTGTTGTTGTAACAGAATACCTGACATCTGATAACTTATAAAGAAATGAAGCTTACTTGGCTCGGTTCTGGAAGCTGGACAGTCCCAGAGCACGGTGCCAGCATGTGCTTGTATGTGGTGAAGGCCCTCTGGCTGGGCCATGACATGGCGAGAGAATCAGATGGGGAGAGGGAGCCAGCGAGCCCGAGAGAGCTAACTTTGATAACAAGACCGTTCCATGAATCTCTGAGTGGATTGATCTGTGATCATGGTTCATTCATGGAGGCAGAGCACTGCCGACCCAACCACCTCCCAAAGATGCCGCCTCAAAATATCATTAACGTTTGACTCGGAGGATTGAGTCTCCAACAGCGTCAACTCTGGGGCACACACTTAATCCACAGCCGGCGTTCACAAAGCATGTTCTTGCCGCACTTGAAAGCCCTGGTCTGAGTGGGTGGTAGTGAGAAAGCATTTTGTGCCAGGAACACAGATCACTGTGAGAAGGGCTGGCCTGGCTTCCCACCAATCTTGAGACTGCTGTAGAACCAGCATTTGCAGGCACAGGGATGGCCCTGGTGCCCTCCATCCAGGTCAAGTCCTGGCAAGGAGCTGGGTTGGAGTAGTTTATCCTTTTGATAGCAGGGACAGTGGCAGCTGGTCCTCCTGGGTTCTCTGGGTAGATAGGGCCTGCCCCAGCCACAGATCCAGCAAGAATAAGGCCTCTCTGATTTCCTTCTTCCTTAAATAGGGGGAGAACAAGAGGAGAGGGAGAGGGAGAGGGAGAGGGAGGGGGAGGGGGAGGGGGAGGGGGAGGGGAGGGGGAGGGGGAGGGAGAGGGGGAGGGGGAGGGAGAGGGAGAGGAGGAGGGGGAGGGAGAGGGAGAGGGAGAGGGAGAGCAGGGACTCCACTGGCCTTGAAGAGCAGGAGAGGAGTCAGCTCAGGGACAGACCAAGTGATGGAATCAAGAACTGGCAGAGAGTGGCTTTGGGGTTCACCTACAGAAGCCTCTAGCCTTGACTCCTTGTAGGAGTCAGTCTGAGTTGCAGAGGGGCTGAGAACAGCGGCATTGTTTTCTTGCAGACTCTCATAGGCCATGAGGGAGCCGTGAAGTGCGTGTTCTTTGACCAGTGGCATCTCGTCTCGGGAGGCAGCGATGGCCTGGTCATGGCCTGGAGCATGGTGGGGAAGTATGAGCGGTGCCTGATGGCCTTCAAGCATCCAAAGTAGGTGTTGGTGATGCCAAGTCCACCAATGCGGCATGGCCACCTTCCACCGCCAGAGCTTAGACGGCCACCTTTGCCACATCTGTCCCTTCTGCTGCCTGCTGACCCCATGTTCTCTCTGCCCCTTTCTCATTTCATCCATCTGTTACCCACATTCTGCCTCCCCCATCTCCTCTGTTTGGCCATTCTCCTCTTCTATCCTCTCTTGATTCTCTTGAGAAATAACCACATTAGATTTGAGGGCCAGTGTTGTGCAGCCAGTTAAACGGTGGCTTGTGACGCCGGCATCCCACGTGAGTGCCGGTTCGAGTCCTGGCTGCTCTGCTCCCAATCTAGCTCCCTGCTAATGTGCATAGGATAGCAGCAGAAGATGGCCCAAGTGCTTGGGCCCCTGCCACTCATGTGGGAGACTTGGATGGAGTTCCTGGCTCCTGGATTTGGCTGGGCTCAATCCTGGCTGTTGCAGCCATTTGGGAAGTGAATCAGTGGATGGAAGATCTCTCTCTCTCTCTCTCTCTCTCTCTCTGTCTGTCTTTCCCTCTCTTTCACACTATCACTCAGCCTTTCAAATAAAGGAAATAAATCTTTAAATGGACTTAGAAAAGTTACTGAAATCTTACACCTAAGCTACCCATGATAAAGTCATCTCTCTTACTTATCAGACTTACAAAACATCTCAAATAATACCAATTCCAGTAAACTTAAAATTATTGGGATTGGTCTTTATCTTAGGAAGCTAGTGCTCAGAGAAGCTTAAAATGGTCCAAAGGGTTTAAAAATAAAAATAATGAAAAAAATAATAAAAATCATGAAGAGCTTTTGTTTTTTTAAAGGAGCCTATACTTCCAAGTCTGTGGGTCAAATTCGATTCCAGGATAGCAAATGGACTTCATTTTACAGGGCAGTTCAAATTTAGTGGTGGTGGCTGCTTGGCGGCAATGAAGTATTCTGAGGTCACAAAGGGGCTTGTTTGGAAAGGGCATTGTGGTCAGTTAATGGTTCTGCCATGGTCACGGATATCCTAGGCTGCTCCAGTGCAGTCTTAGGCAATTCCAACAATGCTTCTTCCCTTGAGTGTGTTACAATTAAATGCTAATCTTGATTGATTAAAAGAACAAGTGCATTTTCCAGGGGACTTATCTGAGGATACTGGTTTTGTAAGTTATGGCCATAGATTTCCTTATAACCTCATGGGAAGCTTTTAAAAATTTATTTGAAAGGCAGAGAGAGAGAGAGAGAGAGAGAGAGAGATATCTTCCATCAATGGGATCATTCCCCACCTGCCCACAACAGTCAGGGCTAGATCATGCTGAAGCCAGGAACCAGGGCCTTCAACCAGGTCTCCTATGTGGGTGGCAAGAACTTAAGTGCCATATGCCATCACCTGCTGCCTGCCAGGTACATTAGCAGGAAGTTGGATTGGAGGCACAGAGTAGCTGAGACTCAAACCAGCACTCTTATATGGGATGTGTGTCCCAAGGGGTCGCTTAACTCATTGTGCCACAAGTCCCATCCCCCTCATAGGAGGCTTTTCTGCAGGCACACTGGTCTTGAAGGAGGATATGTGAATACTGTTTATATTTGGCATGTGACTGCCTTATTGATAGGTGACAGAGGCCCAAGCACTTGGGCCATTGTCCTCTGCTTTACAGGCTCATCAGCAGGGAGTTGGATTAGAAGTAGGGCAGTCGGGACTTGAACTGATGCTTATATGGGATGCCGGCATTGTAGGCCTTGGCTTAACCCACCACACCACAGCTGTCAGCCCCCGGTCTAAGTTACATAAAGAGGAAAACTCTTCTACCACAGAACCTCTGTCTCAGAGTTGGGGTACCCAATAAGCCAACTAACTTAATGCTTAGGGTAGCAAGGTTATTGTATTTCTATCTCGGAAAAAAAAATAGAATGTTGTTGGACTTTTCAAATGTCTGTTAGGACCTGGAAAAGTCTTCATCTGGCCCTAGGATCTGACAGAGGCTAAAGCCTAATGGTATGGCATGGATGTCATCCTTTTAACCAACTGTAGCAATGACCACCCTCTGAAGGCATGAGCACTCGCCTTCCCAACAAATACATATTGAATACACACTATGCCCTAGGTGCTGTGTGAGGTGCTGGGCATGCGATGACAAATAAGATGTGAGTTGTGCCCAAGAGAATGTGACAGTATACCTGAAGGTTGTGTATGAGCGTGGGTGGGAGGAGATAGAGATAAGTCATGGTTTTTATGGAGTGTGGAGCTCATGAACTAGACTGTAGATGGACTTTTTCTTAGTCTGTTTTCTGTTGTTGTAATGAAATACCTGAAGCTGAGTAATCTGTCAAGTGGTTTATTTAGCTCACAGTTTTGGAGGCTGAAAGTCTATGATCAAGCAGTCTCATCTGGTGGGCCTCTGGTGAGGACCCCCTGGCTGCATCACAACATGGTGGAGAAATGGAAAGGGAACTAAGTGTCTGAAGAAGGGGCCAAGTGCATGGGGGTGGCCTTGCTTTGTAAGAACTCATGCATGCAGGAACTAACTGGAGTCCTATGGAAACTACATGAACTGCAGTGATCTAACTACCTACTACTAGCCCCCCCCCCTTTCTTCTTCTTCTTCCTCTCCCTCCTCTTCCTCTTCTTCTTCTCCTTTTTAAGATTTATTCATTTATTTGAAAGGCAAAGTTGCAGAGAGAGGAAGAGATACAGAGAGAGGTATTTCATCCAATGGCCATAATGGTCAAAGCTTGGCCAGCCTGAAACCAGGAACCTGGAACTCCATCTGGGTCTCCCATATGGGTTGCAGGGGTCTAAGTACTTGGGCCATCATCTGCTGCTTTCCCAGGCACATCAGCATGGAGCTAGATTGGAAGTTTAGCAGCCAGAACTCCAATAGGAACCCATATGGAATGCCATTACCACATGTATTGGCTTCATTTGCTACACCACAATGCTGGCCCTGGGCGCCACTTCTTAATGGCCACCACCTACTCAACACTGCCTCACAAGGGACTGAGCTTCTAGCACAAGAACTCAACAGCATATCCAAACCATAGCAGACTTGATTGGATGAGGAAGGCAGGATCATTATACTGGCTTTGCAGATAGAATCTAACAAATTGGTAGCATCAAATTCAGTTTTTCAGTGTCATGAAGAGGAATAGGGGTAATTACACTTTTCTGAATTGAGCACAGGGAGATGTTGCTGGAGGCTCCTACCTGGGGACACTCATAAATGTCACCCCTGGCCACAGTTCTGCTGGAAGCTGTAAAGTTTGTTCGTTTACTTAGATAATGAAAGCACTAATCTAATAACAAAAAGAAACTGTCCAAATGTTATGTTTTTGCTTTATGTAAAGATAACTCTTTCCTCCTTAATTTATTTTTTACATGATTTTTAAGAGAAATCAAAACATTAAATAAACTTCAGCAAGATTTGTAGAAGCAAACAGCCAGGAATCAAACTGCAAGAGAGAAACATGATCATCTATACATTGTGCCTCTGTGACCAAATTGCAGGAGAAGTAAATACAGAACAGGAAGAGATGTCTTGAGCGTAGGTGGCTTACATTCAGGATTATTAAACAATGGCAAACCCCACTTCAAGGATAGCTATGGCCCTGGCACCCAACCACGCACAAAACACCCCAAACCACCAAGAAACCCAAGGCAGAAGGCGGGCACTCCCTGTCACTCTGTTCTCTTCCAGGGAGGTGCTCCACGTGTCTCTCCTCTACCTCCGAGTCATCAGTGCCTGTGCGGATGGCAAGATCCGCATTTATAACTTCCTCAACGGGAACTGTCTGAAGGTGATCAAAGCCAATGGCAGAGGTGATCCTGTGCTGTCCTTCTTTATTCAGGGCAACAGGTGGGTGGTAGGTGTGGAGGTCAGAACCGTGAGCAATTCTGTTTGGATGACTTTTTTTCCCTCCCCTCCCGGACAGCAGTCTTGGATTTGCTGGCGAGAGGAGAGAGTGTGCAGTGCTTCCCACTGTTTAGAAGTAACGATCTTGTGGGGAACCAATTGAGCTTTACACAACACTTAGCAATCAGAGTTCATTTTGATTCTTAACCTGTTCTAGGTGTTAGGGGAAATTATCCAGTGGTGCACCATAGCTCTTCTAGGAGAGCCATAGTTTGGATAATATGCAGCCACTGCTTGCTCATTGCTCATGCGTCCAGCTGCCTGGGAGTTCCATAAGCTGTCTCTGATGCCCACTGCTGATGCAGAGACTTAGAGGAGGGTGGGGAACCGCAGTAGCTGGGGGTGCTGTTGGGGAGAGTTGAGCAGGTGAGTTTATAGAAACCTGTACCATGACTGATCTCATTGCATGAAGGTCCTCAAGAAGGTCATGGAAAATGCATATTATAAAAAACTGTGCATGGACTTCAAATTGTTTTTGCACCAAAAAAAAAAAAAAAACCTTATAATTACATTTTCCAGGACTTTTTTTTTTTTGGAAATACTCTTGTATATAGAATTGTGCTTGTTATATAGGAACAGGTTCAGGGTGATGTTATGTGGAAATAAGCAAAGAGCATTAACTAATAAATTCTACCTTGGGCTCTCTGGAGACCATTTAATTTTCATGAACTGTATTGCCTTCCTTTAAATGAAACCTCATTAATACTATTTAACATCTAAAAAGAAAAAGGGTGTGGCTGGTAATAAGCTTGATAAAATAAAAGATTTCAGCTATGAAGCAGTAATACTGTAAAACAAAATCCACTCTGATCTTTTCTCATTCATACAATCCAGAGAATGATGATTTCCTTTTGGTTTCGATAAAAATGTCTGAAAGAAATTTCTGATTGGAATGGTCCCCCTAAATTCCACTCTGGCATTTCCAGCCCAACTAAGTCACTTTTCTGGAGAATGTATGCTCACAGCTAAGGTCCTACCATTGTAGCCTTTTGGAGCAGAAAGGAACATGAATCTTTTTTTTTTTTTTTTTTTTTGACAGGCAGATTTAGACAGAGAGAGAGAGAGAGAGAGAAAGGTCTTCCTTTTGTTGGTTCACCCCCCAAATGGCTGCTATGGCTAGCGCACTGCGTCAATCCGAAGGCGGGAGCCAGGTGCTTCCTCCTGGTCTCCCATACAGTTACAGGGCCCAAGCACTTGGGCCATCCTACACTGCCTTCCTGGGCCACAGCAGAGAGCTGGACTGGAAGAGGAGCAACTGGGACAGAATCCAGTGCCCCAACTGGGACTAGAACCCGGGGTGCCAGCACTGCAGGCGGAGGATTAGCCTAGTGAGCCGCAGCACCAGCTAGGAACATGAATCTTATAAATGACAGCAATGTGGAAGCAGTGGATGCTAGGAGGCAGTGCTAGGGGAGCAAGAGGGCAAGTGCAGGAAGTTTGTCTACTTGGGCATAAAAGTGGGATTAGAGAATATAGAAATCATCCTGTTCTGTAAAGTTCAGAGGTTCTGCCTACGTCTAGGTTATGTCCAGAGCCAGTGTAGCGACAGCATGAAGCAGTGTGGGTTCTTTGTGTGTGTGGGGTCAGTGGAGAAGGGGCGGTCTCCCCAGTAGAGAGTTTTCCTCATTCCCATCACACCAATAGAATCATTGGGTTTGGAAGCTGTGCTTTCAAAATAGGGAGTGATTTTCAAGACATCTGCATGCAGAGTCCCTAAGCTTCTACCTTGGGAACCTCAGGTACTTGAAACTCACTCCAGGAACAGAAATTCATTTGAAAGTATTTTAACTTGAGAAGCAGAACCATCAGAAGCCATGTATCACATTTATGTTTACTTGTTTATTTTTTTAAAAAGAAAACAGTTACAAAGCTAATGGCCCCTGCCGCATGGCTTGATACCCACCTGTCTGACCCTCTGACACCTGGCCCTAGCCTGTTTGTGTGGTCATTACCTGGGCATGGCCTGAGGCTTGGCCAGGACAGTAACTGCCCTGCCTCCGTTGGTGGCCTCCACACTCCTTTTGTGGGCAATCTTGTTGTTTTGGTTTCCAGGATGTTGATCAACACAGAGAGCAATATTCTCATGTTCCAGTTTGAGCCTGTAAAGTGGCAGTACTCCACGGAAAGAAGTAAGTCGAAGAAGAATAAGGACAGAGAGGAAGACAAGGAAGACAACGGTCTCATGGACGCCCTGTCCAAGTCAAGCACTCAGGTTCACAGCCTGCGGGAGTCTGCGTCCAGTAAACAAACCGTGGCCCAGGACACTCTACTGAATAAGCCCCACAAGTCCCGTGTCCTTATGAAGGCAAACAAGGTATCTTCAGGTAAAGGAGCTAAACTTTTTCCAATAGCTAAAGGGAGATTTTCAAGACCTAGATTAGAAAACTTATTAGAACCTTTGTACAGAATATAAGACTGGTCTTCATACTTGCCATTAAAACAAACAGAACAAGCTACCCATACCTGCTTACCCCTCAAATCCAAACATATATGAGGGTGTCTTCACATATTATGAAAAAACTATGTATGATTTCAAAAATTTTTTGCACCAAAATTTATCTTTTTATTCCATTTTCTACAAACTCTTTGAAGACTCCCTGCATTATATAACTGATTCCTCAGGACTGAAGACAAAAAGTTACTATAAGCAGAATAATGTTTTGTGCAGAATGCATTATCTTTAGGCCTCTGAGAGACAATATATGCACCTGGAAAATATCAGTTACAAAGCAAGTGTCTGTGTGTGTGTAAGTGGGCATGCAGGCATAGCCTATACCATTTATATGACGTCCAAAGAACAAATTATATGTAGCAAGGCCTCTTCCTTTTTTATGTTTTAACTTGCCCTATATTTGTGAAGTTGGGTCCACAGATCTATAGAGAATACCAATAGATCATTCCCAAGCATGTCACACTACAAGTGGCGGGTTGTCCCTGGAGGAGAGGGAACCAAGAGTTTTCGGTAATGCTTCATGCTTGATGATCAGTGGGAGAAGAGGATGAGAGAGGGGATTCAGGATGTAATCTAGGTCTTAGACTGTAGATGACCACTTAGTTTCCAGCACAATTATCAAAATGATGATATTTTTGCCTGAAATCCAGCTAAATTATCAGTCACATAACTACTGATTATAGAACCAGGATGCCCCTCCCCATTATTTAGACTTTGTTGAATTATGTAATGACTGTCATTTCTTTCTCATTCTTAATTCAGTCACATTAGCAGAGGAACGTCAAGGTCAAAGAAAGTCAAAATCACCCAGAAAAGATGTCAAGAAGAGAGCTTATCCTGTTAACAAGGAAGCAAGTGTCCACGATGGTGGGCAGGAGACTGTGGAGGCAAAATCCGTGGCTGGAGATAAGATGAATGGTGATGCTTTATTCTGAATTAGTGGCAAGATCCAACCTGTGCTCCCTCCTATTTTTCCTTCCCCTCCTCTCCATTTTGTTTTGCTTCTCAGTAGGCTGATATTCTTGCTTATTTTTGAGAATTCAGAATGAATAGACTGCCTGACTTCTAAGAACAACTGGTTTTGTTGTCTGCTTTCTGCCTTAAGAATCTTTCTAAGATTTGAGTTTCCAGTCTTGGGCTCCCAGCCTGCCATTTGGCCTCCTCCTCACTTCCTGGGCTGTTGAGCCAGCAGTATGACTACGGGGACAGCAGAAGGGAGAAGAGGGACTTGGGGCTGGTTTCAGAGAGACTTTAGGGGGTTCCATAAGGGAGGAGAGAATGTTTGAGGTGGGTGCTATGTATGTGAGATGAGATAAAGGAGAGAAAGATCCAGGGCTTTTGAGACATGTTGCTGAACATCATGCCAGGACTGTCTCTTTGCTATTCTTAAAGGACACTGATAAAAATTGTAAATACCTTTCAAATATTTTTTGACTAGTATACTTGTGTTTCTTTGAAACAAACTCCTTACAGACTGGTTTCAAGGTGAGGGAAAAACAGTCACTGTTTTTTGTATGAGGGCCATCCCAACACTGGGCATCCTTGTGTATACCCATGTCTGTGTATCTGTGCAGGTACGCGTGCAGGGCACAGTCCTAGGACTGAGATAAAGAGAACTGCATTTAAAAACTAGAAAGATGGCCGGTGCCGTGGCTCACGGCGGCCATTGGAGGGTCAACCAACGGCAAAAGGAAGACCTTTCTCTCTGTCTCTCTCTCTCACTGTCCACTCTGCCTGTAAAAAAATAAAAAAATAAAAATAAAATAAAATGTAAACAAGATTGAAAAAATAAAATCTCCTTTACTACCAATCTTAGGTCCTCTTATCAAGAAAAACAAAACAAAACAAAACAAAACAAAAAAAAAAAAAAAAGAAAGATATCCACAGGGTTGTCCTTAAAAATGCTATTGATTTTCATTCTCACTAATGATGTAGGAGAGTTTTCGCCCCACCAATGCAAACTCTAAGTGTTGTTCATCATTTCGTACCTACTTATATGATAAGTACAAGTGGTGTTTGCATTTCTTTAAGGTTGGTCATTAACAAACTGAAAATGGCCAAGCACATAATGAAAAAAATCCATACTATAGAATATTATTTCATAGCTAAACTTGTGTAATGATGAGACATATATTGACTTGGAAAGAGAGCCACAATATGAGGCTATTTCAAAAAGTTCATGGGGAAATGGAATTAGAAGATAAGCTTATTGGGGTGCAAAAAATGGAAATCCATGAAGTTTTTACATAGTACACATTTTTCATGAACTTTTAAAAGTTATTTACTTATTTGAGAGGCAGAGAGAGGGGGAAGAGAGAGAGAGAGGGAATGAGAGAGAGAAAGGAAGAAAGACACACAGAGAAAGATCAATACATACATATATAGAGAGAGCTCCCATCTATTGGTTCGCTCCCTAAATGCCAGCAACATTCTGGGCTGGGCTGGGCTGGGCTGAAGCCAGAAGCTGGAAACTCAATCTGGGTTTCCTTTGTGGGTGGCAGGAACCCAGTCACCTGAACCATCACCGCTGCCTCCTAAGGTCTGCCTTTATAGGAAGATGAGGTGGGAGGAGAGCCAGGTATTAAACCCAGGCATTCGGATATGGGACACAGGTGTCTTAATTGGTGTCTCAACCACTAGACCAAACACCTGCCCTGGGGGTTTCCATGAGCTTTTGAAGGTCGGTCCCTCTTAGGCTAGGATGTCCCCCCACCCCCCACCCCCCACCGTGCGTGCGCGCACAAACACACACACACACACACACACTGGGGCTGGCACTGTCACACAGTGGTTAAACCAATGCTGTGATGCCAGCATCCCATATTGGAACTCTGTTTTGATTCCCAGCTACTCTCAGCTTGTGATCCAGCTCCCTGCTAATGTGCCAGGAAAGACCACAGATGATGGCCCGAGTGCTTGTGCCTTGCCACTGACATAGGAGAACCAGATGGAGTTCTTGGCTCTTGGCTTTGTCCTAGCCTAGCCCTGGTTGTTGTGGTCATTTGGGGAGTAGTTGAAAAAATCTCTCTTGTTTTCTCTCTCTCTTTAATGTTCTGCCTTTCAAATAAATACATCTTAAAGATTTTTTTTTGCACCAATAAAAAATATTTTTCCCTGTGAACTTTCTGAAGGCCCTTTGGATGTTATGTGAAAAAGGGACAAGTTTGTGCACAATGAGCTCATCACAACCCCTTTTTTATAAATGGAAAACATTCTGTGTTTTATGGGTTTGAAATGAGAGACGGCTCTGACATCTAAATTGCACCTAATTTTTATATGTTATAATAAAATATAGTTTAAAAAAGTGAAAGGAAAAAATTTGAAGTTTCATTCCACCCTCGTGTGTTAAAACACAAGCATCTTTGAATAAGATGCTTTTATTTGCTGGTGTGGCTTGGTGTAGAAACAGGAGTGGGGAATGTCCAGTCCACGGGCCATATAACGCTTGAGAAATCATTTGGTCTGGCCCTACCAAGGCAACTGCAGGCAGGACTCGGAATTCAATAAACCTACAGCAGGCTCATTTTTAAGTTGATACTTTTGTATTGCCCATGACGGACATCATAAATATCCCAGGGGCCCTTGGCAGAGAACAGTTCCCCATCCCTGGTGTAGAGGGTTACCTGGCAGTCAATGAGGCAAATGACACCTACTTTTCATGACTCAGAAGACGGTAGTGCTTCTCATGTCTCTGTGAGTTGCAGGAACTGAAAAGCCCACATGGAAGAGAGAGAACAGATTGGCTCATTTGCAGAGATGTGTTTGTTAACTTCATGCTCTCAGGCACCTGGGAGGTCTTAATCCTAAAGCAGGGAGCCTTTCACTCTTGTCAGTGGCTTTTGGACCTGCTGCTCCTGTTCAAAACATTTGGGTGACTCTAACTTTAGGAAGTTCCTTTTAGTCATGTGGTTGATATTTTTGCGTTACCCAGTGGGTGACATATTCTTCGAAGGCACATTTGGTTTTGAGAAACAGCCAGGATCATTTGGAGTGAAATCCAATTACTGAGGTGGAGATCAAACTTCGTGATACTGTTGTTGAAAACGATAGCTATGTCACTAAAAATCAGGAGCTGTTTTGTGTCAGCCATAAATGAGATGTGAAGGTCATTCCCACAGGGACATTTCAGAAATGTGTAGAGCCCTGGAATCACAAGTGTCACCTTCAAAATATGCAAGTCCAGAGACTAATGCACATTTGCGACAAGTACTAGCATATTCATTAAAAAACTTGTCTTGTTAAATAATTTTTCTGGTATCATCATTTCTGATATCATCTTGCTACTGCTCACCCTGTAGCAAGCCCATTGGACCACTAAGACCCCAGTGTGGCTTCATCTTCATGCCAGTGTACTTAATATTTTTCAAAGAATGCTGACTTTTTGTTTCCTTTTTTTTTTTTTTTTTTTTTTTTTTTGCAGAAGCAGATGATGTGCAGAAAGTACCAGAGCAAGGCCAAGTGACAACTCCTGTAGAACCAACCTATCTCCAGAAGAACAAGCCCTGGAAAACCCCCATGTCGCCTGATCGGTTCCTCCTGACTGTCAATGCTTTGCAGCAAGCCCACAGTTCCGGGAAATTTGCTTACCCCCACAGGCCCCAAACGCAAGTCATTGATGCCTGGGGACCTTCCATTCCATACCCAAGGAAGGTCCTGAATTTCAAAGGGAAATCAATCCAACATGCAGTAGATCAGCTGAGAGCCAGCAATCCTCCCATGGACGTGCAACAAACCAACATTCCCCTGGAGATCCAGAAGCTGCAGCCCAACTTGAAACGATCTTTGCACAGCCCCCGGGTCCAGTCCACCATCCCCCAGCCCATGATTATCCGCTCCAAACTCTCCAGCAGCTCCCGGCACGAAGGTCAAGCGACCAGTTCAACTGCAGGGCCAGCGAGCAGCGTGGGCCCCCTGAGCAGTAGGCAGGTTTATAAACCGAGCAGCATGGTAGCGCCTCAAGTGGGCACGGCCACCCTGTCCCTCAAGAAAGAACGGCCTCGCCTGTGCATGACCCTTGATCCCCTTAGGATGAACACTGAGTTTATGCTGTTGACCGTGAAGGAGGAGGAAGAGTACAAGGAAGCCAAGATGAAGGAGTATCAGACTTATGAGTCCATTGGAGTGGTTGACCTGGGAAAAGCCAGCAGAGCTGCGTGGATCAGGAAGATCAAAGGCCTGCCCATTGATAATTTCATAAAAGCAGGCAAAATCGCAGCCCCTGAACTTGGACACAACATATTTATCTAAACCAGCCTTGGGAAATGACAGTGTCTTACAATAAACAGAAGGTCAAGTGGATTGGTTTTCTGTGTGTGTGTGTGTGTGTGTGTGACTGTTCCCTGCAGTTAGTTAACCTGGGAACCTTTTGTTATCTTCTTATAAACCAAAAGGTTGATCTTCTCAAAGTAAGAAAACAAAAGGAGCCTGGGAGAGATTGGCATCTGTATTTCCACTGGGAACCATTCAGGGAGACTCAGGGAAGCCCGTTTCATTCGTGGGGGATGGGGAAGCATCCGCTGGAAAGTAAGATACCACTCACCGCTACCATGCAGTGCTATCAGTTCTTCCAGCAAACGAAGGGATGCGGCTGCTTCAGGATCAGGCCTTGCAGTCTCCTGGTATTTTGGCATCGAAGCCTAATGAAGCTCACTAAGTTGTTAAGAGCCTAAAAGGGGAGCCCTCAAAGGACCTGGCCTATTGCTTTGGAGAAATGCTTTTTGCATTTCTTCTTCTCAGGGCTAACTTGTGTGGGAGAGAATTAAATGCATTCATCTTCTCTACAAAGGAGGCTACTAGTATTTTTTTTAAAAAAAGATTTTATTTATTTATTTGAGAGGTAGAGTTACAGACAGTGAGAGGGAGAGACAGAGAGAAAGGTCTTCCTTCCGCTGGGTCACTCCCCCAATTGGCTGCAATGGCCAGAGCTGTGCCGATCTGAAGCCAGGAGCCAGGTGCTTTTTCCTGATCTCCCATGTGGCTGCGGACTTGGACCATCTTCTACTGCTTTCCCAGGCCACAGCAGAGACTGGACTGGAAGTGGAGCAGCCAGGACTAGAACCCTGCACCCATATGGGATGCTGGCGCCGCAAGTGGAGGATTAACCTACTGCGCCACGGCGCCAGCTCCAAGGCTACTAATATTGCATGGGGTGAAGTCTACTTACACCTTTGGGAGGTGGAGTCAGGGACAAGGCAGGTAACTTCGAGGAGTACATGGGGGAGGAACGAGGAGTACATGGGGGAGGAACGAGGACTAGGGCCCATGGGGCGACAGCTCAGGACCCACACTAAGTAGAGCGCTCCTATTCAGTAGCTTTGCGTGGTCAGATTACTCCCTTCTTCAAGAAATGCCAGAAGTTCCCATTTTCCTGTGAAGTGCCCCACATTTTAAAGGATGGTACACGGCTTCAAACAGAACGCACGAGGAAAGCCAAAACAACAAAGCGACAAGTCCACAAAATCAGATGAGGCCGAGGCAGGCAGGATGTAGGGGCTCTCTGTCCACCTGCCCTCACAAGGCAAAGGCCTGGCCAAGCTTTCTCTTCTTGGACATGCCCAACCCCCACCCCTTAGGATGTGACGTTTAAAACAGCACAGGCACCTAACCGTGGGAAGTTTGTAATTTGCATGCGAAGAATTCCTCGAACTAAGGAAATGTGCATTATCCCATGGGCCTTTCGACAGCAGCCTGGCAGATGGTTTGTTTTTTGTTTTGTTTTGCATTTTTTTTTTTTTTAATCATCACAGTTTCCAAGATGAACAAAAGCTTTAGTTTTTAGGTCCTTCCTCCAGGCAAGAAAACACACATCACGGGCTGGGCTTGCACTTAATGTCTAAGGGTGACCATTATCACCCGCACTCGATGTTTGAGAACAGTACCTGGAGGTTCGTTCTAAGAGCCTAATTGGTCATACAGGGCAGGGGCTGACCCCCACACTCCAGGGGCTCAACACCTATGAGCAATGCCTGTTTCCTGCAGCCCAAAGTTTTCTTTTTCCCATCCTAACACCCTCCGCTGCTTCCTCTAGAGTCCTCCTGCCTTGCTCTGAACAACTTTTTTGCTCCTTTGCGAACTATAGAAATGATCCCTGAAAGTATAGTCTTTAACTTTTTTGCTCCTTTGCAAGAGCGCCTTTGCTAACAAACCACGAAGCTCTCCCAGCCTGTTTTCGCAATTACCTGGCCTAGACTCCGCCCCCGTCGGCCCGCCCATCTCGCCCCGCCCTGCAATCTCCCCGCCCAATCCCCGCCCACGTACTGCCCCCTTTAAAAGCCCCGCCCTGGCGCTCCCCAGCCGGGGCGTTGCGCTCCTCTCGCAACGCACCTCCAGCCGGAAGTGTCCTTGTATATCGGCCCCCTCCGAGCCAGTGGGGACGGGTTTGTGTCAGTTCCGGCCCGGACCCGGCGCCTGACGCGCTGACGTGGCTCCCGGAAGTGGGGCCGGCGCTGCCTCGCCATGTTGTCACAGGTGAGGGGCTGTGGGCGCCGGGAGAGGGCAGCGGCATGTGAGGGCTGGACTTGGCGAGGTCCGTGGGGGCGCGAGTGGAGCGTACCGGGGCCGTGGTTTCCGCGTCTTCCCCCTGCCGCCTCCGCCAGAGCTCAGGGAGGAGCGGGGTGGACCGGCGGGAGTAGGGGGCCATGGACAGTCGTTCGGCGAGGGCGTCTGGACGCCCTGAGGCCTCAGGCGTCGTTAAGCGGTGTCGGCCTGGGCCTGTTCAGAAGCCCATGGTCCGCAGACGCCGGGCGCTGTCTGCTGTGAGGTTGCGGGGTGGCGGCGTGGGCGTTAGTGCGCGGGTGCGGATAACCGGGGGCGGCCCATCGACCATCTCCGGCCCCCTCCGGGTCTGACCCTGGGGTGGGGTGTGCGCTGAGGTCCAGTACGACGGCGAGACCCTGCCGGAGCGGGATAATGAGTAATTGAATCGCCTTTAAAACAGTTGCTGTTTATAGTCCACTTTGCTTTAATTCTTTGTGTGTGCGTGTGTTTTCGTGTCACACGATATTCACCGAGGGATCACCCTGTCCCAGCAGTGCTCCAGGCTCAGGAATCGGGTCGTGAACACTAGGGACAGACGGGTTCCCCGAGGTCAGGGGCTGGTCCTAGGTAGGACATAACGAGTTGTAGAGGGGCTGGGGTGATGGATGATAAGTTAGCCAAACCAAAGACATTTCCATCCATCACGTACTTGTTGTGCTCTGGTTTCCGTCCCCTCTTAAGTCAGAATATAAATATACTTTGCTTTTTTTTTCCCCCCATGTGAAAAAATGAAAACTCCCGCCTGCCCTTTGATCTGTCACCCACTCTCTGTTCCTGGAAAGACTCGTCTGTACTTGTTCTTTTTTTTTTTTTTTTTTTTTTTTTAAACAGGCAGAGTGGACAGTGAGAGAGAGAGAGAGAGACAGAGAGAAAGGTCTTCCTTTTGCCGTTGGTTCACCCTCCAATGGCCGCCGCGGCCGCTGCACTGCGCTGATCCAATGGCAGGAGCCAGGTGCTTCTCCTGGTCTCCCACGGGGTGCAGGGCCCAAGCACTTGGGCCATCCTCCACTGCCCTCCCGGGCCACAGCAGAGAGCTGGCCTGGAAGAGGGGCAACCGGGACAGAATCCAGTGCCCTGACCGGGACTAGAACCCCGTGTGCTGGTACCGCTAGGCAGAGGATTAGCCTATTGAGCCGTGGCGCCGGCCTGTACTTGTTCTTAAGTGTGGTATTCTTCTCCGCCATCCAAGTCAGAATTTCCCTTCTCCTGCCTTACTAAAACTGCCCTTACTGAGGTCACTGTGGACCTGCTAAAAAGAGAGTGGTCACTTCGGTTTGCAGCATTGGATGTAGTTCTTGGGATCCTTCTCCTGGGATTCCAGGGCACCACTCTCCTGTGTCACCCCCCACTCCGTGCCACTCGTGCTTATTTGGTCTCCCCTTTCGGACCTCTGCATATCCGAGTGCCCAGAGTCTGGCATTGGCATCTTTATCCTGTTAGTTGTTGAGGACAAAAACCTCTTTCTTGACTCCTGTTCTCTTACCCCAGAGTCAAGTCAGCAAATCCTGTCAGCCTGGCCTTAAAAGCTGGTCTGAATCTCCACCTTGCACCGCCTCCACTGCATCCACTGTGGACCAGGCTGTTGTTTCCAGGCTCCATTATTGGAGCAGCCCCCTAACCACTCCCCTGATTTTGTGCCTTGGTCTCTCCCCTCCCTGCCCACCATAGTTTTAATGCAATGACTAGACTTGTCTTTTGAGTCAGAACATGTCAATCCTTTGTTCACAGTGTACTTATGGTTCTCACTCTCAAAGTTTTTGAAAAGAAAACAAAATGAAACAAAACAACAAAAAAACACCCACTTTTATTAACATTTTAAGTTTAGTATGTCCAAAACCAAACTCCTGATACTGCTCTGATACCGGTTGTGCCCGTGGTCTTCCTCTTCTTAATAAACACAACTATGAGAGTACAGAGTTGTTTGTCTCCTTTTTCTTAGTGCTTGTACCCTTACAACAGTGCCTGGCAGTTAGTAGGCATTCAGTGTTTATTGAATATGGAGAAGATTCCAGTCTTTTATGAAAGATCAGAGTAAGAGAGAAGAGTGTTCCTAGGTAGAAGAACCACAAGTCTAAAGGCCCAGTGGGCACATGTTGAATCAAAAAGGTGGTTGGTCCAGGGGCTTAGTTACTATATGAAAGTTTCCTATTGTTTTTGTAGCAAATTACTATAAACTTTGTAGCTTAGAACAAACTTACCCTCTTATAATTCTGATGGTTTGAAGTTCAAAATGAATGTCAAATGTCAAGGATTGAAATCAAGGTGTGGGCAGTTTTGTTCCTTCTGGAGGCACCAGCAGGAGAATCTTGTCTTTTCTAGCTTCTGGAGGCTGCCTGCATTCCTTGGCTCATCGTCCCTCTCTCTGTCCTCCAAGCCATCAGCATAGCCTATTCATGTCTCTCTTTCATCTCTGCTTTCCTGTTTTCATCATCTTCGCTGACTCTGAGCCTCCTGTGTCCCTCTCCAAGGATCACTGTGATGCAGTCAGTGGGCCCACCTGGATAAAACAGGAAACTCCCTAGGTCAAGACCCTTAAATGAATCACTTCTGCAAAAATTCCTGTCTGCCAATGAGTTTACATATTCCCAGGTTCTGGGAATCAGAAGCTGGCTATTTTAACAGGGTTGAGAAGGAAGTGTTATTCAGTTTTGAAAGGAGACTGGCCTGATGGTTGGCCTTGGAGGTCGGTGGGGGCTGGCTCATGATAGGTCGTGGTAAGGAGTCTGATTTTCAGTCACAGTACTGTGAGTGTTAAGTAGGCGAATGATGTGGCCTGATGTGCAAAGGTGTCCTTAGACAGTTGGGGGTCAAGAGCAGCCGGCCACAGGGCTTATTCAAACATAGCCTGGTACAGTGGATCTCACTATCGGCTGTGCGTTTTGATCATCTGGCAGCTTTAGAACATTCAGCAATTGTATCTGAACCTCTGAGGGGGTGGGGTCCAGGTCGTGTTTTTTGTCTCTCCCCCCAAGTATTCCAATGTGTAGGTAAGGTTGCGAACCACTGGTCTCAGTTCTGAATGTGTGCTACCGTTCCCAGCCTTAGCTGCTATTCTGCTTCTCTTGCCCTTTACTTACTCTGAGTGCTGCTTGGTTATTTCATTTTCGTCGGTTTGTAGGCCACTGTCTGTGCCTTTGAAAGTATACTTAGCTGAGTTGAGTGAGCAGGAGGCCTGCATCAAGGCCTAACTGATGACACTCCTACAGAGCCCTCTGGCAGAAAGGAGTCTCTCCCTGTCCCCCGTTGTGTTTGCATTTGCATTTGCGTTTGCGTTTGTATTTCTCCTGGCTCTCCAGTGACAGTCTGTGGTGTATTATAGGTAATTGCCTCCTTTGTTTACTCACTCATACCTTCAGCAGACCCTGTAGCACTAGACCAGGGCTCCGTTAGCCGGTAGGACTTGGCACAGTGCAGACAGGCCTGTTCCCCAGTGGCTTAAAATCTAAGTGGGGGTGGGAGTTGGGGACAGATTTGCAATAAGAATGCCCCGTGGTAACTGTTCAGATGCAGAGTTGTCCAGGTGCTGTGGGGATGGCGCAGTTTCTCAGCTGTGTCCGTATCTGATCTGGTGTGTGTCCGAAGGGGAAGGAGGAGCAGAGAAAGCGCAGGAGAGGCATGAAGGTGGGCGAGACCAGGTAGTAACAGCGTTGCTGCAGGGCTGCGCAGGGAAGTATCAGGAGTATGCGGTGTGGATCAGATCACGCCATCACCCATGCTGTATGTGAAGGAGTTGACTTTATTCTGTTCATGGAGGGACACATTTGACAGAATTGAGGAGGGGAGTAGCATGATATGATTTTCATGTTGGGAAGAGTGCTTTGAGTAACACAGAGGAGAGGCTGGAGTAGACTGGGAGTGAGACTGGTGGGTGGTACCGGGAGTAGGTTTGTTGTGGTTGAGGCTGAAAGGAATTACAGTGATTTGAGGTGTGAGCCCTTAGGAGCCTCTGGGTGGAAAAGGGAGGAATGCTGTGGGAAGGTAGAAGATAGATAGAAGGGGAGATACAAAATCAGTTTTCTTTCTTTCTTTCTTTTTTTTTTTTTTTTTTAAGATTTATTTATTTGCAAGGCAGAGTTAGAGATACCTTGGGTCCACTGGTTCACTCTCCAAATGGCTGCAATGGCCAGGGCTGGGCCATGCTGAAGCCAGGACCCTGGAACTCCATCTGGGTCTCCAACGTGAGTGACAGGGGCCATCTTCTGCTGCCTTCTCAGGCGCCTTAACAGGGAGTTGGATTTGAAATGGAACGGCCAGCACTCCCAACCGGCCCTCATATGGGATGCTGGCATCACAGGTGGTGGCTTATCTTACTGTGCCACAATGCTGGCCCCAGATCAGGATTATAAATCTTCTTTGAGTAATAAGAGGCACTTGGAAATGCTTACATGCTGTTTAGAAGATTTGAAAGTACAAAAAATATAAATAAAAGGAAAACAAGTCCCGAGGAGGCATGAAAAGAAGGAATTCTGAGCACAAATCATTAATTTAGTCTTGGACAAGAAAAGAGAGTGTGAGAAGGAGTCAGGGAAGCCAGGATGCAGTCAGATGGTCTGTGAAGGAGCAAAAACACTGAGTCTATCCCTGAGAGCCTCAGCTTTCTCTGAGTGCAGCTGAAAATTAGGTGTCAGCTCGTAGGAGCAGGTTCTGCACCAGTGTTCTTAGAGGCCTGAGCTACCCAGGGGTAGGGATGGACACATTCCCATGTTGGCTTCTTGCCAGGTGTTGGGATGCACCTGTCCTTTCCCTAGGTTGTGAATTTCTTTTTTTAAGATTTATTTGAAAGGCAGAGTTGGGTGGGGGGAGATATCTTCCATCCACTGGTTCACTCCCCAAATGGTCAGAGCTGGGCCGGTCTGAAGCCAGGAGCTTCTTCCTGTTCTCCCACATAGGTACAGGGGCCCATCTTCTGCTGCTTTCCCAGGAGCATTAGCAAGGAGCTGGATTGGAAGTAGAGCAGCTGGGACTTGAACCGGCGCCCATTTGGGATGCTGGTGCCACAGGCGGCAGCTTTACCCATTATGCCACAGTGCCGGCCCTGAGGTTGTGATTTCTTGATGGCTGTGACTGTTGTAATTTTGCCTTCCATCTTGATCAATGTGCATATTTGCATGTAGGGAGCATGTAAATACTGCCTTTAATTTTGCTTCATGAATATTTAATTTTCCTACTAGGACAGTAATGATGACACTGAGGATGTTTCCCTGTTCGATACGGAAGAGGAGACAGTTAGTAGACCAAGAAAATCCAAAATCAGGTATGTGGATAAGTTATGAGAGTTGTGTTAGTATTCAGTGATGCCCTGTCCATAGATTAGTATCAGCTGATGGGACTCAAGGCCGAGTGATTTGGAGTTGCTTGTGAATATTCTATGCTGCTAGTTTGGTATTTGGTGTGAGACAAAATGAGCTTCAGTTTTTCTTGGGAATAATTGACAAATGGGATTTTATTCAATACTGAGTTTTCAAATCATCAAATCTGGTTATTTAAATACCTGTGCTTTTAATTCTATGCTAGCTACTGTTTTCCAAGAATGATCTTTCTTGGTGTGCTTTCTATAGATAATGTTACATTTTGACTTATTGTGCAGATTTCAGATTCTTCTATAAAAAAATAACATGAAAATGTGAAATGTACTTCTATTCCAAATTTAGTTCTCTGAAGAAATTTTCTTAAAGAAATCAAAATCTATTTGAGCCTCAAATATCATACTAAATGAAAGGTGCCAGTCACAAAGACCACATATAGTATGATTTTATTTATAGGAAATGTCCAGAGTAGACAAAAATGTATGTGACAGAAAATAGCTTAGTTGTTGCCTAGGGTTGAAGGAGTTGAAGGTAAATGGGGAATGATTGCTAATGGGTACAGAGTGTCATTTGGGGTGATCAAACGTTGTAAAGTAGTGGCTAATTAGTGATTGAACACTTCTGTGAATATACTAAAAACCATTAAATTGTACACTTTAAATGATAAATTATTTGGTATATGAATTGTATCTTAACAAAGCTGTTAAAAACCAAAAATACTCTACCTGATGGTGACTTTGCTTTAATGCCTGAAGTGATTTTTAACTTTCCAAATTATTTTGGCATGATTTGAAAAAGGATTCAAATCATAAGACTGTAGTTTTCCTTATTTTTGCAAACTAGGTGCTCGTTATATATTTTGTGAAAATTTATATTCAATGTGATATTTTTTAAAGGGAATGGGTTTATTGGGGGAAACAATGTGATGTTGTGTTTACATAATGAATTTTCTGTGATAACAGGGCCTAGTTAAATAATGGGACTTAAGAGAGGTAGGCTGCTTCTTGCTCAGGTCATCTCTTTTGTTTTGGCAGATTCTTCATGGTTATGCCATGGCTAGCACATTTTTCATCTACATCTGCTGATACCTGTAGTAAAATGTAATTGCATTTCTTTTATTTTGTTTTGGTTTTCAGACATCCAGTGGCATCATTTTTCCATTTGTTCTTTCGAGTCAGTGCAATTGTAGTCTATCTTCTCTGTGAATTGCTCAGCAGCAGCTTTATTGCCTGTATGGTGACCATTATCTTGTTGTTGTCATGTGACTTTTGGGCAGTGAAGGTAGGTTTTGTTGTTTTTATTTTAAAATTGTATTTACTATGAGATTGAATGATGTATATACAGAAAAATATGAGACAGGATTTTGGATTGGTGTTAATTTTAATTGATCTTGTTATATCAGGCCTCATATAGGTTAAACTGCTGGAATTGTCAGAGCACATGCAGGTTATTACAGAACTGAGTTACCCTGCTATATGTCAGCCTACATCAGCTTTGCAATCAAACACACACAAACACACACAAATGTGACCAGCAGGCATAGACTGTACACATTGCTTCCAATCCCTTCAGCTGGTTTTGCTTTAGGGTCACTTCTAGGTGTGCCTTGTATAGTTTCCAGATTCTGCCCAGTATAGTTGTCCATAAATGCCTAAGAAGTATCCACCTTTTGCAAAGGCTCCTATGGGTGTACTAGGGCAATATTTCTCTACCAGGGCAAAGTTGTTCCCCATGGAACATTTGTCAATGTCTGAAAACATTTTTCATTGTCATACCTAGGGGCAGGGGTGAGTGTGATCTAGTGTGTAGAGACCTGATGTGCTACTGAACAACTTAAGATGCACAGGATGGCCTCTACAACGAAGTACTATCTGGTACAAAATGTCAGTTTTGTACCAGATGTACCAGAGGTGGGGCCAGCGCCATGGCTCACTTGGCTAATCCTCTGCCTGCGGTGCCGGCATCCCATATGGGCACCAGGTTCTAGTCCCGGCTGCTCCTCTTCCAGTCCAGCTCTCTGCTGTGGCCCAGGAGGGCAGTGGAGGATAGCCCAAGTGCTTGGGCACCTGCATCTGCGTGGGAGACCGGGAGGAAGCACCTGGCTCCTGGCTTCGGATCAGCGTAGCTCCGTCTGTAGAGGCCATTTGGAGGGTGAACCAACAGAAGGAAGACCTTTCTTTTTCTCTCTCACTGTCTAACTCTATCTGTCAAAAAAAAAAAAAAAAAAGTTATGTCAAGATTGAGGAACCCTGCTGTAGGGGAGAGAAAGGAGTGAAAGCAATGGTGTCAAACTCAAAAGTGATGGATAGAGATGAATGGATGCCCAGATAGGTAGGCAAATGTGTGTTAAGTTACCATAATAAAATACTAAATGTAGACCTTAGGTGGTACATGTTTATGTATTTACTCTAAAATTTAACTTTCCTATGTGTTTGAAAATTTTTCTAGTAAAAAGTGATGGGGGAAAAAAAATCAAAGGCTAATTTTAGGATTTCAGAGACCTGTGTACTGATTCAAGGACCAGTAAGATGTTTAAAGTCTGTTGACCTGCCCCAACCTAGCCATTTTTAGACCTATTAACTAAAAACATCAGAAGTTGTTTGTTAAGTGGTGGCTAGTTTTCATAGGCTACATAATACTGCGAAGGAAGATCTCAAAGGTCTGTTCTCTTTTGCTTTCTTTTCCTTTTTAGAAGATTTATTTATTTATTTATTTATTTGAAAAGCAGAGTTAGAGAGATTATCCTTCATCTGCTGGTTCACTCCCCAAATGGCCACAGTGGCCAGGATGTGATCAGGCTGAAGCCAGGAGCCAAGAACTCCATCCTGGTCTCCCACATGGGTGGCAGGGGCCCAAGTATTTGGGCCATCTGCTGCTGCTTTCCCAGGCACATTAGTAGGGAGCTGGATCGGAAGTAGTGCAGCCGGGACTCAAAGCAGTGCTCATATGGGATGCTGGCATCGTAGGTGGCTTAACCTGCCTCACCACAATGCCAGCCCATAGGTCTGTTTTCTTAAGACTTCTTTTGTACACTCTCTTTGGTTTGTGTTTCTTTAAATTTCTTCTGTGGCTTTTTGCTCTAGAGTGTATTTGCATCCATGTTTCTTTTTGTTATCAAATTTCTGCTCAGCCAAATAAAACATGGCCTTCAATCAGTTTTCCTCGTAATTTTTGAACTCTTAAAATTAAATCCTTCTGTGCTTGGGGTTTTTGAAAATGTGACCAAAATAGTATATTTTCTGATAAGATTTAAAAAGGCTTAAAAAGTTGTCACTCATTTATCCTTGTCAAAATTAATTACAGTTATCCAATTAAGCAATTAAGACCTGAAGCAAAATTAAGAAATTGAATGGAGAAATTATTAAATCCATTTGGGAACACATGTAGCAGGGTTCTAAAACTAGTAGATTGGAAATGTGTCATAATTTTGATGTAGTTGTCAAAAGAGATATAATTATTTTAAAAAATAAAAATAATCTTCATCCAATTTCCTGATATTAATGAAGACCAAGAAGAGGTGAACACAGAAAATATTTTAAGAGTATGTTTAAATATGATTGTATAGGGTTTTATTTTGTTCCTCATTTTGACAAATAGAGTGAAAGTTAAATAGTTTTAAAAATTTAATGAAAGTTATTAATAAAATTTAAAACATGTTCTGTATCTTGTTCAGCACTGGAGAAGATAGGAGCAACTGAAATACTTCCTGTGGCCAAAGAAGGAGGACAAAGTAAATCTCAGAACTTAACTGTTACAGCACCCGTGTACTAGGTGACCGAAGTAATAGCAAATTTGTTATGACAGTAAATGGAATTTGATTAAGCTCTCTTTTAAAGACAAGAATTTGAAGACTGGGTCAGAAATCAGAGCCCAAGGGACTGGCATTGTGGCACAGAAGGTTAAGCTGCCACTTGCTATGTGGGCGTCCTATGTTAGAGTGCTGGTGCCCAGCTGCTTTACTTCCAATTCAGCTTCCTGTTGATATGTTTGGGAAGGCAGAGAATGATGGCCTAATTCTTTGGGTTCCTGCCACTCATGTTGGAGACCAACATGGAGTTCTGGGAGTTGTGGGCATTCGGGGAGTGAACCATGGGATGGAAGATCTCTCTGTCCCTGCCACTCTCTCTCCTATCTGTGTCTCTGCCTTTCAAAGAAATAAAATATATCTTTAAAAAAAAAGTCCAGGCAAAAAGAACTAACTAAAATATTGACATTTATAAAAATAAAAGAAGGCAAAGATAACATCAAACCAATTCAGACAAAAAGAAACTTGGTATTATTATCAGATGAAAGAGAAAACAGGGTAAGAAAACACTAAATGGAACCCCCAAAAAAGGTCATTTTATGAATCACAGTGACTTTCATTTGTAGAATAAAATTATATCAAAATGTATATAGTGAAGAACATAAAATACTAGGGAAAGATGGAGGCAACATTGTGTTAGTAGCCTAACAAACCATTGTCTTTGATAGATAAAGCAACAAAGAATAAATAAGGTCTGTATGATCTGAAAGAAATAATTAACAAGGTCAATTTAAAAGCACTATTTGGAACTTTGTATGTACAGAGATATGCCTGTGGATCATTAACAAAAATTAACTGAACATTACTGAAGAAAATCCAAATAAATTGTAAAAAACATTTACATTTTATAGTCTAAATTAGTATATAGAAATTAATAAAAATAGTTGTCAACATTAGCCTTAAAAAAGCCAACTTGCTAAATATCTTGGTGTAAAAGGAACCAAAAACTGTAAAGATAGATTGTTTATAGCTTAATGACAATGTCAAACTCTGGCATGAATGTAGAAGAAAAACAATAATAGACTGCAGGCTTTTGATATTTGACAAGAAAATAAAAGTCTGGACTGCTCAGATTTGAAAGTTTCAAAAACAATAAACCTAAGAGGAATTAGGACAAATAAACCATGAAGACAAATGCAGAAAGAGAACTGGGGCGTGGGGACATGGAAGGGTCTGGGATTGGAGCTGTTCTTGTCACCTTTGCCAGCTTTTCTCTTCCACTTGGCCTTTCACTCTTAGCATTTCTAGGATAGAGTTTTGGTCTTTAAGGCCACCCCCTTCCTTTTCCTTCTGTGTTCCTTTCCTAGGCAGTGCCATCTCTGCTTCTGATTTCTGTTGCTGATCTGTAAGCTGCGTTGGTTCTCAGATCCAGATCTCTAATCCAAGTTTGTCCTCACAGCTACTTCTCCATCTGTTTTAACATTTTTATGTGACTGTCTTGAAGGCACCTCAAATTAAGGATATATAAAATACTACTTGTTATCTTCCATTCCCAAAATGCTCCTTTTTCCATAGGTGTTCCCTTCTGTAGGTCCTAGAAGCGTTATATTTTTACTTGAGCAAACCAGAAATGTGTGTGTTGTCTCTTTCCTACTCCATATCCAGTTAGTTACCAAGTCTCTTTTAAGTCCATGGGTTTCACTTTCTTCCTTGGGAGAGTCTATACCTACTGCTCTGTCTGAAATGCTCTTCACACTTGCATATCATGTTAATGTAAGGATTTCTAATCCTTTTTGTGCCACAGACCTCTTTTATAGTCTCATGAAGCCATGAATACTGTTTTCAAATATACAAGAAAATAATAAGGCCTCAAAGAAAGTCATTTATATTGAAATACAGACAGTTCCCATATCCGTTGGTCTGGAAGCCAGGGAGTCAACCAGTCACAGATTGAAAATATTTGGGGGAAAAATTGTGCATCTGTACTAAACATGTATAGACTTTTCTTTCTTGTTAGCAGTCTGTAAATAATATGGTAGAAAAGTATTTACCCAGCACATTGTTTGAATATATTAGGTATTATAAGTAATCTAAGATGGGGCCGGCGCCACGGCTCACTAGGCTAATCCTCCACCTCGCAGCGCTGGCACACCGGGTTCTAGTCCCAGTAGGGGTGCCGGATTCTGTCCTGGTTGCCCCTCTTCCAGGCCAGCTCTCTGCTGTGGCCCGGGAGTGCAGTGGAGGATGGCCCAAGTCCTTGGGCCCTGCACCCCATGGGAGACCAGGAGAAGCACCTGGCTCCTGCCATCGGATCAGCATGATGCGCCGGCCGCAGTGCGCCAGCCGTGGCAGCCATTGGAGGGTGAACCAACGGCAAAAGGAAGACCTTTCTCTCTGTCTCTCTCTCTCTCTCACTGTCCACTCTGCCTGTCAAAAAAAAAAAAAAAAAAAAGTAAGATGATTTAAAGTATTTGGGAGGATGTGTAGGTCATGTGTAATTATGTGCCATTTTCTATAAGGGACCTGAGCCTTATTTTGCATATTTTGATATCTGCAGGAGATCCTAGAACTGCTGCCCCAGTGATACCTGGAACAACTATGAGTATATAATTAAAAAATATTAAAAAGATAAATTTCTGACTTAGCATATGTATTTCTTTATGAATGTATTAATAGTAAGATCTACAGGGGCCAGTGCTGTGGCTCACTTGGTTAATCCTCCTCCTGTGGTGCCAGCATCCCATATATATGGCACCAGGTTCTAGTCCCAGTTGCTCCTCTTCCAGTCCAGCTCTCTGCTGTGGCCCGGGAGGGCAGTGGAGGATGGCCTAAGTGCTTGGGCCCCTGCACCGGCATGGGAGACCAGGAGGAAGCACCTGGCTCTTGACTTTGGATCAGCGTAGCTCCAGCTGTAGCGGCCATTTTGGAGAGTGAACCAACGGAAGGAAGACCTTTCTCTCTGTCTCTCTCTCTTTCTCTCTCTTTAACTCTCTCTCTCTCTCTCTGTCTCACTGTCTAACTCTATCTGTCAAACAAAAAAATAGTAAGATCTACAATAGACCTAGTAAATTTCAAGACAGTGATAAGCATAACAATATTTTGAGAAATCTGCAGCAAATATAGTACAAAATGAAAATTATCTGTGGTTTTTATTGTGACAAAGTTTTGAGTACTGTTAATTCTACCCACATTCATGGTTTGTCATCTACTTTCATTATGTAATGATATGCCAGATTTTAGCCAGAGGTTAATGAAAATAAAGATAAAATTTCCTCCCCACTTGAATTCGCAGAATCCCTGAATCTGTTAGTGGATACCAATAATGAAACACACCCTGTATTATTGATTCCTGAAATTCCTTTAAGTTTCATGCCAAAATGTTGATTTTTCGGGGAGTTGGCCACATTTCCACATTGTACTCAAAGCATCCTGTACTTCTCCCTCACAACACTTGTTGCAGTTAGTGATGGTGCATTTGTATGTTGGTGGCCTCATATCTTCCCCCGACACTTGAAGCTCCTTAAGGACAAAGGTGGTACCTCTTAGTTACCACTTTAGTCCCAGTGTTTAATAGTTGAGTATATATACATTAGGAAGGCTACCGAAGTTATTTGTTACTTTAATAAGAAAACAGCTTGGTATATTTAAAGGATTGAATAAAGGCCAGTGGCTGTTTTCATTTTTAGGTATATACAGCTGCAAAATGTAGGTAGCTACAGTCAGGATATATGGGAAAAGGTAGGCCACTATAGCCAAAGATCAAGGGACTTAGGAAATTAGGAATTGGAGAAAGTGTGAGAGAAAGGAGGGGAGTAATGTTTATGGGCACTTTATGGGCACACTTGTTGCTTACCCTGTCACTTGCTCCCCCTACTGGACCTACTATTGACGTTTTATTTAATCTTTTAGTCAGGCCTGATGTATAGCTGTCTTTGTTAACTGGGTATTATGTTAGAGGTAGAGATTCTTGTTGGGAAATGTAACATTAAGATGTGACGTTGCGTATGGGTCTTTTAAATGTGTATTATTTTTCCCAGAATGTCACAGGTAGACTGATGGTAGGCTTACGTTGGTGGAATCATATTGATGAAGATGGAAAGAGCCATTGGGTGTTTGAGTCCAGGAAGGTAAGCTGATATTTTTCCTATTGAATAGTGTCCTTTGATAAGTTATGTGTAGATTACGTTTCATTATTTAAGAATATTCAGGTCTAAAAACATTACCTCAAGTCACTTGCCATGTCAGTAATAAACCAAATGGCCTTCTAAATCTTGATTTTTTTTTTTTTTTTTTGGTTCTAGTTCAGAGCAGAAACAAAGCAAAAGTGAGCACAGGACAGAATTCTGTGAGAGATGATGTTAGAGTATGCCAAGCTGCAGATAAAAGCACTTTCTGATGGCCTCAACTTTGTTGTCTTTGCTGGGCATCTCCATGGATCCCTCTGTGTCTAGCAGATAACTGCTGCTAGTACCTCGTTCTCTCTTTGTTCCCATGGCCGTCTTCCACTTGTGTGTGGAGAAAAGGAGAAGGATTGCAACTGGATAGAAAATGTGGAGCTGATCAATCATTCTTTAACCCTGTGCCTTCAGGAGTTCTGTGGAAGCCTTGGTTTGGGTTGGCGAGGCACTCGAGAGTAAACGCCCTGTTTCCCTGTGGAAATCTGTGTGGGAAGCAGAGGGCAGAACTTTTGGAGACAACCCCAGTTATGTTGCTGCCCTTCTGACTGGAAGGGCCTTGACAAGTGATAGTTCTCAGAAAGCAGTTTTGTACTCAGTGAGCCTGCAGTCCTTTATATTATGCAGTCTACTTTGTTAGCAACTCACTACCCCTGTAAGTTCCTGAGTGTTACAAAGACATTTTGGTTGTTGTCCAGAATCTCTTGATTGCTGGACCTTTCTTTGGACCTTGACTTGACCTTTATTCCCCAAGATGACTGTATAACCTTGATTTTTTTGATTCTCACTCAAAAAAGTATCATTCCACCCTTCCTTATGAATAAACAGTGCTGGTGCAAGAATTTAGTACAATCCTGTCAGGATCACTGTTCTGTCTTGGATCCTGATGAACTGTGTGTTCTGCCCTAAAATTGCAAAATTCTTGGGTTGAAACAAAGTACATTAAATATTTCCTTGAAATTATAATAGTAGAGGAATTAACTCTGTGTGTGTGTGTGTGTGTGTGTCTGTTTGTGTGTTTAAGTGTTCTGAATTGGGACTGGCGTTGTCTGTATTAATTGAATTGAAAGAAATATACTTTTATTTAAAATGTTTTATTTATTCAAAGCTATTTACTGGTACACATCTCAGTGATGATTGAAATTACTTTCTTGTTTTGTTTTGTAGACATCCTCTGAAGAAAATAAAACTGTTTCGGAAGCTGAATCCAGAATCTTTTGGTTAGGACTTATTGCCTGTCCAGTGCTATGGGTGATATTTGCCTTCAGTGCTCTCTTCTCCTTCAGAGTCAAATGGCTGGTGAGCGTCATTGTGGAACTTTTGAATAATCCATTAAAATGTCTGATGGAAAATCCTAACAAGTAACCATCTGTGCCTTTAACATGGAGGACCTATCTTGAGTAGGCAGCTTCATCATGTATTACCCAAGTTGTTTCCCAACTCCACTTTTTCCTAAGTGCCAGCAACAGATGGGGCTGTACCAGGCTGAAGACAGTCACTGGGAACTCAGCCCAGGTCTCCCATGTGGGTGACACCCTCAACTACTGGAGCCATCACCTCTTGCTTTCCAGGGTGTGCATTAGTAGGAAGCTAGATTGGGAGAGCAGAGCCAGGACTTGAACCAAGGCAAGCTGATAGGGAAAGTAGGCGTCCCAAGTGGTGGATTAACTGCTGTGTCAAACACTGCCACGTTTATTGGGTGATATTTTCAGAAAGAACATCTAGGTTTATTCTTCTGATCCTTTCATGTTTAAGATGAGCCTGTTCTAATCCTTCGCCTTGCGGCGCCAGCACACCGGGTTCTAGTCCCAGTCAGGGCACCGGATTCTGTCCCAGTCGCCCCTCTTCCAGGCCAGCTCTCTGCTGTGGCCCGGGAGTGCAGTGGAGGATGGCCCAAGTGCTTGGGCCCTGAACCCCATGGGAGACCAGGAGAAGCACCTGGCTCCTGCCATCGGATCAGCGCGGTGCGCCGGCCGCAGCGCGCCAGCCGTGGCGGCCATTGGAGGGTGAACCAACGGCAAAAGGAAGACCTTTCTCTCTGTCTCTCTCTCTCACTGTCCACTCTGCCTGTCAAAAACAAAACAAAACAAAACAAAACAAAAAAAAGATGAGCCTGTTAAGGCCGATGCTGCGGCTCACTAGGCTAATCCTCCGCCTGCAGCGCCGGCACCCTGGATTCTAGTCCCGGTTGGGGCACCGGATTCTGTCCCGGTTGCCCCTCTTCCAGTCCAGCTCTCTGCTGTGGCCTGGGAGTGCAGTGGAGGATGGCCCAAGTCCCTGGGCTCTGCACCCCATGGGAGACCAGGAGAAGCACCTGGCTCCTGGCTCCTGCCATCGGATCAGCGCGGTGCGCCAGCCGCGGTGGCCATTGGAGGGTGAACCAACGGCAAAGGAAGACCTTTCTCTCTCTCTCTCTCTCACTGTCCACTTTGCCTGTCAAAAAAAAAAAAAAAAAAAAAAAAAAAAAAAAAAAAGAAAAAAAAAAGATGAGCCTGTTGAATGACTTGGCTAGGTTGCTCCCAACCATTACTTACTGAGTTTTTTAGAAAAATTTGAGTCCAGGTATGTTTAACCTCCATGTAAGTAAGTATCCTCTGGCGTCTGCTTCTGAGATGTTGGAGATGATGGTGGTGGGAATTTTTTTATTTTTATTATTTATTTTTTTATTTTTTGACAGGCAGAGTGGACAGTGAGAGAGAGAGACAGAGAGAAGAGTTCTTCTTTTCCCTTTGTTTCACTCTCCAATGGCCGCCGCGGCCGGCGCGCTGCGGCCGGCGCACCGCGCTGATCCGATGGCAGGAGCCAGGAGCCAGGTGCTTTTCCTGGTCTCCCATGGGGTGCAGGGCCCAAGCACCTGGGCCATCCTCCACTGCATTCCCTGGCCCCAGCAGAGGGCTGGCCTGGAAGATGGGCAACTGGGACAGAATCTGGCGCCCCGACCGGGACTAGAACCCGGTGTGCCGGCGCCGCTAGGCGGAGGATTAGCCTAGTGAGCCGCGGCACCGGCTGGTGGTGGGAATTATTAGTGAGACGTAACCTTCGAGCTTTGAAGAATTAGGAGCTGTGCAGGGCTGCCCCAAACCACCTTAACTACCGGTCCTTTTTGATGTGTGTTGCTACTTGTTTCTTTGCCTTTTTTTGTTGTTGTTGTTTAAGCCTATTGCTGTCTGCATCTTAAGGAGAGGTGTTGGGTATCTTTGTATCTGACTACTACATCCTCTTAAGTCAGAAGTCTATTTGTTTTAGCTTAGTACATTTTAAAATTTGTTGCCATTTAGTAAAATTGTTGCCTCAGCAGGACCCATGCTCAGTCTGAATTCAGGAACCTTCTGGCATGCTGGTATACACATACCCAGGAGTATTCCAGTTTGAGAAGCCTAGGAAGTTAAGTGAGATTTATTTAGATAAAAAGGTAGTTTTATGTTTACCTAGATAACTAGTAGCCTTGTATAACACTTAGATTTTTATTTCCATCAAACATGCATTTAGAGCAGAATATACCAGTTCAGCTTCTTTTATTAGGAATTTGAACCCACTCCTTATTTATTTATTTATTTATTTTTTCTGACAGGCAGAGTGGACAGTGAGAGAGAGAGACAGAGAGAAAGGTCTTCCTTTTGCCATTGGTTCACCCTCCAATGGCTGCCGCGGCCAGCGCGCTGTGGCCGGCGCGCTGTGGCCAGCGCACCATGCTGGAAGGCAGGAGCCAGGTGCTTATCCTGGTCTCCCATGGGGTGCAGGGCCCAAGCACTTGGGCCATCCTCCACTGCACTCCCTGGTCACAGCAGAGAGCTGGCCTGGAAGAGGGGCAACCGGGACAGAATCTGGCGCCCCGACCGGGACTAGAACCCGGTGTGCTGGCGCCACAAGGTGGAGGATTAGCCTAGTGAGCCATGGCGCCAGCCCCCACTCCTTATTTAAACATTTAAATCTTCTTACCTTAAAATCATCTTACCTTTAAATCAGCTGTACTACTCATAAGGAGGCAAGGAGAATGAATCTGGATTGAAAAAAAGACCTTCTGTTTAGGAGCTTTGCTTTTTACCTGTGTAAACGGTTTCTGGATAATCTGTTTCATAGTAGGAGGATTGATGAGCTGTTTGCTGTAGAATGAAGGTTGGTGAACTATAATGTGTAGGCCATATCCCACCCAACATCTGTATTTGTAAATTTTTAAAAAAATTTTATATATTTTTTGAAAGAGTTAGAGTAAGAAGGAGAGAGGGGGAGAGAGAGAAAGAAAGGGAGGGAGGGAGGGAGTGAGAGAGAGAGCATGCAAGGGCTTCCATCTGCAGATGGAAATGCTGTAATGTCTTGGGCCAAGCCAGGCCGAAGCCAGGAGTCGGGACCTCTTCCAGGTCTCCTATGTGGGTGGCAGGGGTCCAAGCACTTGAGCTATCTTCCACTACTTTTCCCAGGTCATTAGCAGGGAACTGAATTGGAAGTAGAGCATCTAGGACTAGAACCAATGTCCTATGGGATGGAATGCCGGTGTTGCAGGTGGTGGCTTTACTTGCTACACCACAACACTGGCCCCCTGTGTTTGTAAATTTTTATTGGAGCACAACCTTGGGCACTGAGGGACTTGGGCTTGTTCTGGCTAACTAAGGGGTCTCACTGGCAATGTTGTGCTTTTCAGAGTTTCCTTGCATTCTTTGTCATGACAATCTGCTTGTCTCGTTTCTGGCATAGAGAAAGGTCAATTTTAGGTCATTAACGGTGATTCTTTTTCTCCTGTTCCAGGCAGTGGTTATCATGGGTGTGGTGCTGCAAGGTGCCAACTTGTATGGTTACATCAGGTGTAAAGTGGGCAGCAGAAAGAATTTAACCAACATGGCAACTTCGTATCTTGGAAAGCAATTTTTAAGACAAGTAAGTGTTTTCTGAATGTGATCAGGGACTAATGCAGTGAGTTAATTCTTGTAGCGTTTAGCTTTCATGAAATACTTATTTTTTAAGTCCTTGGATTGTATATTTATTTGAGAAGCAGAGAGGCAGATATCCTCTGGCTTACTCTCCAAATGTCCACAACACCTCGGGCTGGGCCAGATTGAAGGCAGAAGTCAGGAACTCAATCCAGGTCTTTTCTTAAAAGTTTTTGAAAGAGAGTGAGAGCAAGAAAGAGAGAGACAGAGAGAACTGTCATCTGATTGTTCACTCCCCAAATGTTTACAGTGACCTGGACTGGACCAGGCCAAAGGTAGGAGCTGGGAACTGAATTCAGGTTTCCCAGGTGCAGGTGGGATTTGATTACTTGAACCTTTACCTACTGTTTCCTGGGTGCACATTAGCAGCAAGCTGGAACTGGGAGTGGAGCTGGGATTTTTAACCCAGGCACTCTGATATGGAATGCATGTATCTTAACATAGGCTAAATGCCTGCCTCATGACGTGTTTCTTAGCAGTTTTTTTTTTTAAAAGGCATATAGTTATTTAAATATGATGTGATGATACAGATGTTTTAATGATTCTCTGGAGGCTTTTAGGACATTCTGAAAATGTATTATACCTATCCTAAAATTATCTCAAAATCAGGAGAAATAAGCTGTCATTGATAATAATTTATCTTTAAAAATTACCTTAAGTTCAGTAGGTTTCTGTTAATGTCATGGTGGCTTTAAGTGGCTGTTCTTGAAGAAAATATGTTGGGTGCTTTTTAGGGTTTATAGCAAGAACAAGTAGAATAAGACCAGGTATTAGTCTGTTTTCTGTTGCCATAACAAAAGAAGTTGGGTAATTTGTAAAGAAAAGAGGTTTAGTTAGCTTATAGTTTAGAGCTCTTGGAGGTCAAAGAGCATGGCACTGGTCCCTGATTGGTTCTGCTGAGAGCCTCCTGGTGGATGGCCTCCCGGCGGTGGAAGCAGGTATGGACGAGTCGCAGGATGAGCTAGGAAGCCAGAGGGCTTCAGGGCTCAGGCTTATTATTTTCCTAACAACTCATTCTCAGGGGAACCACTCATTCAGTGAGCCCAGCGTTAGTCCTTTCTGCGGGCTTTACCCCCAGTGACCTAATTACCTCCTACTAGGCCCCACATCTTAGTGCCACCACCTCTCAGCATCACCACACTGGGGTGATGTGAACTCTGGGGAGACAAACCGCATCCAAACCACAGCCGACCATATCATTGAAGGTTGTACTTTGATTTTCCCTCCTAGAACATAAAAGGTTTACTACAGTTCTCCCAGATGAGATTTTAAATCAGAGTTTTCAGAGGGTAAGCAGTAGTCATAGGTGAAAAAAAAAATTTGATTACATTTCTTGGGAACATTGACTAGGTCATGTGAGTAACACCTCACATTTGTTTAGTGCGGTAGATTGGGCAGGTGGTGTTACAAAGGACAGTGATTCTTGGAACATGCACAGAACCACCTAGTGGGCACAAGGTTGCTGGGCTGCACTGGCTGAGATTTATTCTAGTGGATCTCATTATTTGCTAAGAAGTTTCTAGGTGGTGCTGATGCCGCTGGGCCGAGGTTTGCACTTAGATTCAGCTGCTGTGGTCTGGATGTGTGATTGAGCTCTCAGCTCATGCAGGTCTGTAAACCCCCAAGTCAGAAGTTAATGGCACTAACAGAGTGGAGACTTGGATCCAGTTATAACATTTCAGAGGTGGACCTGGAGGGGAGGTCTTTAGGTCACTGGGGGCATGCCCTCAGAAGGTGGTTCTCATGAGAGGCTTGGTTATAAAGCCAAGCTGGGCACAGCCACCCTATCTGCTTCCTGATTTGCTGTGTCATCTTCCTCTGCATGGACTCTGTCACTGGCTCCCACCACCCATGCTAGCCAGTGGGGCTGCCTAATCTTGGACATGGACCTCTAAATAAACTTTTTTCTCTCTTTCTTTTAAAAAAGACTTATTTATTTGAAAGGCAAAGTGGCAGAGCAGGAGAGACAAATCTTCCATCTACTGGTTTGCTCCCCAAATGCCTGCAACGGTGAGGATTAGGCCAATGCCAGGATGCAGTGTCCTCTGTAGGTGGCAGGAACCCAAGCCTTTGGGCCATCTGGTGCGTCCTTCATCCTAGGCACAATAGCTGGAAGCTGGATCAGAAACATGGAGTAGCTGGGACTCAAACCAGGCTCTGAGTGGGATGTGGGCATCCCAAGTGGTGGCTTAGCCCACTGCACCAGAATGCCTACCCCCTAAACCTTTTCTCTTTATAAAGCTAGTTTCTTCAGGTATTTCGTTGTAGTAATGAAAAACTAAGTAGCTAAAGCCCTCAGAGATTAAGTGACCTACTCAAGAATATACAGTAGGTGGTACAAAGATAGAGCTTGATCACAACCCTCTGTTTCTATTCTAATGTATAGTTGCTTTTAAAGAAGATAAGAGAGAAAACGAGTGTTCTTGTAGGAACATGATCTCATCCTGAAGAATTTTTGCATGGTGGCCAGTATAACTGCTGTGGTCCACCTTGGGAGAATTTTCATGAACGTGCTTATTGGGTTTCTTAGATTTACAGTGTTTCTGAAGGTGGGAGGGACGTTGAAAGAGGTCCGCGTCTTACCTGGTGCCTCATGATGCTCTGCTCATCTGGGACAAGCTGGGAGTCTGGGTGGCTGGTGATGGCTGAGCGTTTCCTTCTCCAGCACGTCCTCTTTGTAGCGTGATTGGGGCATTGCATGTAAGGTGCTGCAGTAGCTGGCTCTGCTTACAGACAGGGCATGTGCTCTGGGCCTGGTGCTTTCTCATCTGTGGGGTGTGCAGTGAAACAACTTGGAAGACTGAGGAGTATTTTTTCTTTTCCCTGTTTTGCAGAACGCTGGAGGTGATCAGACTACCTGAGTAGAGAGAAAGCTTGTGTGTTTCTCTTACATTGGGGAGCAACTGAAGAGACTCTTGACTGAGCCTTTTAGCACTCAGTCCATGTTGCAAAGAGGAGTGTTGGGTTTGTTTTTCCACTTAAAACTTTATTTGAAAAGAAGGAGTTTTCATCTTCAGTTTTTATTTTCTTTCTAGCAGTTGGGGCTAGACAGTATGGTGTCACTAGAAACACTGTCAGCATTTGTTTTATGGTATATGTACGTAGTCATGTAATTCCAGTGTGTCCCAAATTAGTGAAGGGTTTGTGTCCATTCATGTAACAGAAACCTTTGCATTTTGATCTGTAGAATGTGGGTGGATGTTTTTAGTCTGTCTCAAAGCTCTGTGTGTTTATATATTATTTCTAGATTATTTTCAGAAGTAAGTTTTGATTCCATGGTAAGAGTGGGCACTTTGGCTTGTGTATAAGTAATGTATAATTGTTAGTTTCTAGTATGTATTTCATAGTGAATTTTCTTATCTTAGACATAATACAAGCAAATAAAAACAAAATATGGGCTAGTGGTGTTAAACTAGTTAACTAGCTTGTGTTTTATTTGTAACAAGTCACTTACTTGTAAGGCCTGATGAATATAAATGGGATTGTCACAGTGCATGTGTGAGGGATGCCCGGAGGTTGCTGCTGTTCTATTTTATGGAGAGGAAAGCCAGAGTCCACTTTGGAATTTCCCAGACGCTCTTCAGTGGTCTAGGGCTGATAAAATCTGTCTTTTACCACTAAAGAGTATTATTCTTATGTCATAATGAGAATACTCATTTAAATACTGGGCATAATAAATGCCTAAAAGACATTTTATTTTATTAATCTATTTTTTTTTCTTGCTACCATGGGGATATTGTAAATCATGCATTTGTATTAATGGTACTTCTTAAAACAATATATTTAAATTAAACCAAACTGTTCTACAAACTGTTGTAGGCATCTGTAAATTCTGTTGTAGGTACTGTAAACTTTATTGGAGTCTTTAGTCACCAGATTATGTTGTGAATGTGTTTGTATATTGGTAAACATTTTTAAAGATATTTTGTTTAATTGAGTGTCTTGATTAGAGTCATGGCTTTGAAAGTACATAACTTTATGTTTGTATAAAACTGTACTGTTGGGGTTGGAGTTGTGGCACAGTGGGTTAAGCCACTGGCTGCAACACTGGTATCCCATATCAGAGCACAAGTTTGAGACCCTGCTGCTCTGCTTCCAGTCCAGCTCCCTACAAATGCAGCGGGGGATGGCCCAAGTACCTGGACTGCTGCCAGCCGTGTGGCAGATCCAGACAAAGTTCTAGGCTTCTGGCTTCAGCATAGACCAGTCCTGACCGTAGTGGCCATTTGGGGAGTGAACCATCAGATGGAAGATCTCTTTCTCTCTCTGTCTTCCTCTTTCTCTGAAACTCTGCTTTTAAAATAAATTATGAAAACAAGTAAACAAACATCTGTTTTTAAGGTATTTTACCCTCATGACAAATACGTTGATCCCTTAGATCTGGTGTAGGGAAGGCAAGAGCCATTGAATACTTTAACCTCATCTGTGGGTGGGCCATACACGATTATCAGCCTGTACAGGTTTATTGAATTTCGAGTCTCCCTTTTGTTGCCTTGGCAGGGCCAGACGGATGATTTCACCAGCCTTAAACATCCTTAGACCAGCGTCCCCCATCCCTTTGATAATGGAACTTCAGGGTTATTGGGTGAGTTGCTGAAGGAAACACAGATTACAGGATTACCTGTAAGAAAAAAAAAACAAGAAATGTTACTGGTTTTAGAGGAAGTATTTGTCTCTAAGTGTCTTTTCCTTTTGAGGAGTTGTAATTTAAAGTAGATTACCGTTTTCCTTATATTGAGCTATTATTCTGTCTGGTGAGAGAAGTTAATGCCACACTGAGGACACATTTTTATTTATGTGAACGATCGAAATCTTTCAGGTTGAGAGTCTAATGGAATGTATTGGTATAGTTTTTGACGTAACTGTTTGAATCTGCAGTGCTAAGCCAAATTGCAATTATGAAACAGTGTGTGGCAGAATCTACCACTTGCCCCTGTTTTCATTTTCACCTTCTACAGCATTTCCCACTGGGACATGACAACCTGGAATAAAGATAACTTTCTCTGGATTGCATCATGTGTGGCCACGTGGCTAAGTTCTGACTGAAGTTGTTCCTGGAAGTTGACTTCCAGGAAGTCAACCGAAAAGGAAGGGGCATCCCCATCCCCTGCCCTTGTGAGAGAGGAAGAAACTTCTATTTTTTAAAAGGAGATTTATTTATTTATTTAAAAGAGTTACAGAGAGAGAAGGAGAGACAGAGAGAGGGAGCTTTCATCTGTTGGTTCACTCCCCAAATGGCTGCAATGGTCAGGGCCAGGCCAGGCTGAAGCCAGAGGCTTCATCAGGGTCTCCCTCCTGAGTGGTAGGGGTGTAAGCACTTGGGTCACCTTCTGCTGCTTTCCCAGGTGCATTAGCAAGAAGCTGGATCAGAAGTGGAGAAGCCAGGACTTGAACCAGTGCTCACAGCCAGTGTCATGGACTGTACCACAATGCCAGCCCCATGAGCTTGTGTTTTATGTTGTTCTGGCTTTTCACTGGGTCATAGCCTAACTGAATACTTGCCCATACAATGCATTTTTATCATCACCCATACTTGTTTCCATTAGTACAGTGTTTGAGATGTAATAATTTACTAAATATGTATTTGCCTTTTTCTTAGTACTATAATTAAGTGAATGTTAGGGGAGATAATGAATCACTCTATTTCAGATCTGTTGCCACTGGCTTTGGAAAATGAAATCTGCCACATTTACTTTAATTATCTCACCATGACTGACAGGTTTATTTGGGGGAGAGAGAGTAGAAAGTTATCTTTCCTTTATAGCCCCTAAAGTATCTTCTTTCACCCCCATCTCTGAATAAATAAGGGTGTGTGTAGAGGTAAAGGCACATTAATTCTTTTTTTATAGAAAACTTTTATTTAATAAATATAAATTTGGAAAGTACAACTATTGGATTATAGTGGTTCTTTCTCCTTAACCACCCTCCCACCCGCAAACCATCCCATCTCCTACTCCCTCTCCCATCCCATTCTTTATTAAGATTCATTTTTAATTATCTTTATATACAGAAGATCAACTGTTTACTAAGTAAAGATTTCAACAGTTTGCACCCACACAGACACACAAAGTATAAAGTACTGTTTGAAGGCTAGTTTTACCATTGATTCTCACAGTACAACAAATTAAGGACAGAGATCCTACATGGAGAGCAAGTGCACAGTGACTCCTGTTGTTGATTTAACAATTGACACTTACTTATGATGTCAGTAATCACCCGAGGCTCTTGTCATGAGCTTCCAAGGCTATGGAAGCCTCTTGAGTTCACAAACTCCAACATTATTTAGACAAGGCCATAGTCAAAGTGGAAGTTCTCTCCTCCCTTCAGAGAAAGGTACCTCCTTCTTTGATGGCCTGTTCTTTCCACTGGGATCTCACACACAGAGATCTTTCATGTAGGTCATTTTTTGCCACAGTGTCTTGGCTTTCCATGCCTGAGAAACTCCCATGGGCTTTTTAGCCAGATCTGAATGAAAGGCACATTAATTCTGTGGTATAGGTACTGTGGTCCTTTTAAACCTGTGCAGCTCTGAGAGCTTATTAAAGTTCTTTTACGGGTCCAGCATTGTGCAGCAGGCCCCCCGCCACCTACTTGGGAGACCCAGATGGAGTTGAGGCTCCTGGATTACGCCTGGCCCTGCTCTAGCCCTTTGGGGGAGTAAACAGAGGATGGGAGATCTCTGTCTCTCTCTTTGTGTGTGTGTCTCTCCATCTCTTGCTCTGCTTTTCAAATAAATAATCTTTAAAAAGAAAGTTATGTAGTATCTCATTTGATTCTCTTCATAACTTTAAGAAGGAGGAAGGACCCTTGTGTGCGTTTAACTGTGTATTTTAGCAGTAAGTCAACAGTTAATATATAACGTTGGCAAACCAAAAACGCTGCAGGCATTACAGGTTTGTTATTTAATAGTAGGGAGTAACTACACCAAATACAAAGAGAGACGCAGCCAGCGATGTTTGCTTCTGGGAGGCAGAACCGAGAGTGGGATGTGACTGCTTCACTAGAGAGGCCCTTCCTTCCAGTACTGCTTGATTTTTTTCACCGTGGGTGTTTTTGATTCTTTATTTAACCATAGCCGGAAAAAATCAGAACTGAGATTACACATATTCCTGGCACCATGGCTTCTTAAGGAAATGATGTTTTCCTTTCCTATTAAGAATGACAATAAACAGGTTTTCAGGAGTGCTTCCTGCTTCTCACAGAGTGAGATATGATTTAGGTGTCAGTTTTACAGGAAAAGTCTATTTCACACACTATTTTAGAATGTATCCTCAAAGCCCCAGACTCTGGTTCCTTTCTCTGATTAAGGTCTGCCAACAGGCTCCGGAGGATCTGGCCGAGCGGCTGATTCTGGAAGCCCCAATCCTGCTTCCACTGGAGCAGTAATGGTTGCAGACTTCAATACTTCACTTTTAATAATGGATATGAGAAATGGCAGAAGATCAGCAAGGAATTGGGGAAGTCAGCAGCTCTGTAAATGAACTAGATCGGTGGCATCTATAGAACACTACATCCAACGGGGGCAGAATACACATTTTATCCAATGCATATCCAAATGCATAAGGTACGTTCTGCAAAATAGACTATATATTAGTCTAAAACAAGCGCTCATACATTTAAGAGGATTAAAGTCATACAAGTATGTTCTCTGAGTTCAGTGGAATTAAATTTGAAACCAACAGAAAGGAATTGTGAGAATTCACAGATGTGTGGAAACTAAGCAGTGCACTGATAATTAATCAGAGGGTCAAAGAAGAAATCACAAGGAAGTTAGAAACATTGATAAATGAAAATGAAAACATACCAAAACTTAAGGAATGCAGCTATTAACAGTGTTTACAGAGAAATTTATAGTTGTTAACACCTATAAATAAAAAATAGGAGAGGTCTCACATCAGTAATCTTAGCATTTTCTTTAGAAGCTAGGAAAATAAGACAAAAATAAACCAAAGTAAGCAGAAGAAAGGAAATAATAAAGATTAGAAAGGAAATCAAAGAAAGGTTAAAAAAAATTCAGAGAAAGTCAATGAAACCAAACATTGGTTCTTTGAAAGGATCAATAAAGTTGACAAACCTTTAGGTGAAAACAAGTAAGACTAAAATTACTAAAATCAGGAGTGAAGGGGGCTTCACTGTGGATATTCCTGAAAAAGCAATCCTCACTGTCTTTTCGTCGAGTGAATGATGATCTCAATAGACTGCAACATTTTACACCTATTTTGGGTGTTAACATTCTGTTGTGTAGCATTGGAACATTACGTAGTCCCTGAAAAGTGCTTTCCAGGAATTGTTTCATCCTGACGTTCTCAGAACCCAGCAGCTGTTATATTTAGCAAAACGTAATCGTGAGGAACT